CTTTTCCTATTTGTTAATCATGCGAAACAGAAGTGATCCTATTCGTATTGAGAGGCATCAGCAACCAATGTTATCGAATGTTTAGGATTACAATAGGTTAGAATAAGTGGTTCCTATATTAATTTTTTTCTAAATTATTAATTACATTTGTTTTTTTTTATCTAACTCCATGCTACATTTTTCTATAAGAGAATTATATAAAGGTGCGGTATGGTTAAAAAAATTGTTTAAAATTTATGCTAATAATTGGTGTTACCTAAGAAGGATAAAACTCTTTGATGCTCTTTGGTAACGCCAGGTCTAAAATTACGTTTACGTTCTCATTAGTTGTAGTGATACCCTCTTTGCTGATGGTATGACCTAGAAATTCGATCTTTTCTTTGAAAAATTACATTATTTTTAAATTTTATTCCGTTTATTTCTAACGTTTTTAGACTCCCTCTTTAGGGTATTTAAACCATAATTATTTCTTGGTGATTTTATTTACCTCTAATCCTGCAGATGATTTTGTCGTGACTATTATTTCTGTGGTCTTGATAGCTGTGGTAATCTTAACGTCATTTTCCTAAGTTAATTTTTTAGTAGTTAATAAATTCATTTTTTTCATCATTTATCCCTGTAACTACATTGTCGCATGATACTGTTTTATAGTTATCCTTCAGGTTTTAATTTCTATATTCATTTATGGATTCTTCTATCTCCTGTGATGATTTGTAAAAGTAGAAATGTTCTAAAGTTGGCTTCTTGGAAGAATAACTTTTTGTTGGTTTGATTAACATGTCATAAGGTGTTTCTGCTATAGGTTTATGTAAGCATAAGATATATATTTGTAAAAGTAGAAATGTTCTAAAGTTGGCTTCTTGGAAGAATAACTTTTTGTTGGTTTGATTAACATGTCATAAGGTGTTTCTGCTATAGGTTTATGTAAGCATAAGATATACATTCGGAATAAATTTTTATTTCTATATGTGTTAGAAGAAAAGCCTTTTTATCTTTTATTAAAGGTAAAAATAATCCCGGTAAAGCAAGAGTGAGTCATGAACTATTTAAGTTTAAATGTAATTTTCAATTTTTTGCTAAATAATGCATTTTATATATTATACCTTTTTCAAAATTAGTAATGTATGATTTTTTGAATAACTAAATAATGCTATTTTAAATTAATATATTAAATAAATTATATATATTATTTAAATTAATATATAAATTATATAGATATATTATTTAAATGAAATAAAATAAAATTATATAAGACATTATTTAAATGGATGCTATATATCGAAACATATATAAATATATTACACCACGTATGTTAGTATCCTTGGGGAAAAAACTGTTTTACAAGAGTTTTAAAATCAGCGACTTGAAACTAGAACAAAAATTCAACAATTATTATTAGATCGCATAACTCTAATATAAATTAAAAATACTTGCAACAACAAGCGTAAATTTATTTTAATTATATTACATTTTATTATTAAAAGTTATTTTTCAAACGAGATTAACATTTATAAAATGATGTTCAAAAGTTTAGAAAAAAATATTTTGAAATACTATGCTGTAACAATGGATGGAACTCTATATATAGGTTAGCTAGGATAAAATAAAAAATCGTTAAAAAAACCCGATCTAACTTCACTTTAAGTAATAGCAATTTTAAAATCTCTGGAGTAACCTATTTTACCATTAAAAAGGATTTGGTCATTCTTCCATTTGATTTTCTTATTTGCACACAAGTACAACACATTACTAGGTATTATATTAATTTTGGAATTTTTATTCTTTATCCTTTTTTAACTTAATAAAAGCAAACTTTGGTGTTGAGACTATAGAATCTAATATTTATATTACACTTTTTTTATAGAAAAAAATCCATTATAATTAGCGCTTCCAACGATCGTGTCCCTTCCGGTCCTTTTTTTCTAAAATGAGATCGGACCGATGTACCGTTAAGTCAAGTGAGACCAAACCGTGGGACCGTCGGAGTCGGTCGGTCCGGTTCCATCTAAAAAATGTTTTTTTTGTTAAGCTATAAAAGTTTTATTCTGTATAAAATTTATTTAATATGAAATGTGTTAAATTACCAATATTTTAATTATATCATCAAATCATTTTTATTATATTATTTAAAAAGATTAAACCAATACAAATTATTGAATATAATTTAAATTAATTTGATTAGCAAATTTAATTAATTTTTGTTTTTGAATGTGATAGATATTTAGTTATAAAATAAAACTGATTTATAAATAACTATTCTAATTATCTTCTAAAAAATCAAAAATTATTCCTATTTTTACCCATCCAATGCTAATACAATATTTCGTTAATCTTGGGTTTTTATTGTTTCCAGTCCTAATCATAACTATAAGTAGGTGTATTTGATAAAATTTTTATTCATTTATTTAAAAATTTCTAGCTCTCAATTTGATAAATATGCATAATTTACTTGTGCTTGAAGAATTGGAAATATCTGGAGACATATTTTACATGTTTTCCCAGAATTATCCCTTCATAAAATTTATATAATTCTTTAACATATTTTCAAATTTGAATTTAATCGATTTTTTTTATTTGCACTACTAATACTATTTTCTAAATCAATAGTTATTCTTTGGCTGAAGGTGATTCAAAAATATTATCATCTTCTATGATTTCAATTTCCATTTCTATTAAATTAAATTACTTGACGAATGAATGAAACGGAAGAATAAAAAAAGTAAACGATGAATGAGATGCTAGGCATTAAATAATCATGTTTTGTTAAAGGTACATTAACTAAAGAGCAATTCATGGTAAACTTTTATCTCTTTTAATCGGTCTGGGTTCGGACCGGACCATCGGACCGTACTATCGGACAGGACCGTCCCTTTGGACCCAATAGTCAGATGTGACCGAACTGGACCGGACCTCTGCAAACATTAATTATAATAATGCAATTATTATGAAAAAATTATTAATTTGGTATATTTATTGTTTCAATAAAATTATTGTTTATAAAATTATTTATTCATTTTATTATAGAAAAGGGTAAAGTTAATAGCTAAAAAAGACCAGTTGTGATCCAGCATAAAAATAACAGGAATTTTTCTATTCCTGTGAATTATTATCTTATAGTTTGCTCTTATATGAAATCTCATTCAATTTTGACTACAATTTTGTCTAACACTTATAATAAAAATATTTGATAATTATCAATCTATATATATATAATTAAGGAAGTTGCTCTTATATTTCCAAAATTATTTTCATACCGTGGTATAATTATTTACAACTTATAGATATATTTTAAATTAAGAATAATAATAGTTTGCGCTCATATAATTTTTTTTGAAATATAATATTATTATGGGTTATTTTTGGCTTATAGTCCTTAACCAACAAATGACCCCATCCTTATAATCAAAAATTATTATTATAAAAATAGTTTTTTAGCATATCTAAGTGCTCAGTGACTTTTTTTTAAATAAATAATTGTCTTCTTTGGACTAAACGAAGATATGAATATTTTTTAAAGCCACTATCTCAGGAGTATATCACTAAAAGGGCGTAATTTAAAAAACACATTTATCACCATTACCTATCACATGTAATTAAAGTTTTGAACTAAGAGAATTATGAAAAAAATAATAAGGTGGCAAGTTGATTAATGTGAGTCATAGTTGTTTTTATACTTTTTCTTTTATTGCCCGATTTGAACATTGTGAAGATAACCAAAATTATAACCAATCATATAGACTTACTCTAACCAAAATGATATCAGACTGTACATAACCCCAAGACCCATATTTAGATAAAATCAAAGTAATACTTCAAATTGGACAAGCTATATGAAATATTATTTAAAAAAATAAACGAAACATTTCACAATCTATATATAATTACCTTATATTTTGTAGTGCAAATATTATAAGATTCTATGACCCCATTTTTGTTTGATGTTGAGTTATGGTCAAAATTGTATCCATTCTTCAATAGTAAATGTATTTTTCAACATTCCGAATATTTTAAAATTGTAATTAGTAATTAATATGCAGATATTTTGGCATAGTATATAATTAGTAGTGAACCATTTTATGTTAACTCATATTTTTACAAAATTTAACTTATTTTTATTTCGTATCTTATAAGATGCAGACATTGTTTGAATGCGGGACACATTGCATAATTTAATATAACGAATTAGCTAGTTTACAGATAGTAATTTACAAAAATTAGGTAAATGTTCAACTTATAGTTTGCGAACTAGCAAAAAGGTAGGATGAAAATAAAAAGAATTGAAGAAGTGAAAATATCATAAAATACTCAATAAATGGGGAAAATATACCAAAGTATACTAAAAAGGAGAAAAATTAAGTTATAATTTTAAGAAAAATAAAAAATATCATTCAAAAGTCTGGGGAAAAAAATAATTCACAAAACAAAAATTAACTAACTAGAATATTAAAACTAACGAATGGATAGCTAACTAGTTTGAAACTAGTTAAGTTTATAAATATAAATGTTTGACATTTAATTTTACATTGTTTTTTTTATGTAATAAAATTTAGCGTTCTTATAATGTTATTATAAGCTAATGTATAACATGTCAGTATGAATTCCTATTTCGTTAAAAATGATATGATATAATAAATTTTCGCCTTAATATATACTGGTCTTGAATTCGATTTTTTTTAAAAAAAAAGATGATATAAAAGAGAGATAAAAAAAATGAGAGAAAAAATGCAATTTTGTTTTTATAGAAAAATATAATGTAATTATAAAAATATTAGCATCTTTATGTAACAAGAATTTTTATTTATATTGTTGTTAATTATATATTAAAATTCGATTCAATTGAAAATTCGTTTACCGATATTAATATATTGATAGAAACTTAATTTTTTTAAAAATACCATAAAAAATAAATTAAAATAATATTTTATTGTGCAATTTTTAAGTCATTATCGGAAAAAAAAAACAAATTTCTTTTTTTTTAAAAAAAATGGTATTTTGTTTTAGATGTCTAATTTCTTTTTTTTTAAAAAAATATAAATTTTAATTTGATTTGTTATCGTATAATTTTACTTAAATAACTATACTAAAAATACAGTTATAAATGATTACATTTATTCATCCTAATTCCACTGTGAAGGGGCAGCATGGGCAATAAAATTATTTCTTTCGAGAAAAGTCCGATAGTCGGCAAAAGATTATTTAAATATAAAAAGAAGAAGAAAAATTTTCAGATAGATATAACGACCCATCATCAAAAGTATTTAAATAATAACGGTCACGTAAAAACCCAAGGTGAGGAAGGTTATAACAAATCTAAGAATGTTTTGTCATCTATCAATACTACTTGTTCAATCATCTCCTCTGGAAATTTAGATATTCCTTTGCATAAGTAAAATTTAAAATATTAATTTTAAATTGATAAAAAATATAATTCTTTATACAGTCAAACTTTTATCATAAAGATCGTTACCATTTAAATAAATTGTTCATAATGTTTAATATCACATATAATTGGTGTGTTTTTATATAAAGCATTTAATCCTCAGGAATAAAAATTTTCAATCAGCTCCTTACCCCCAATGAGTCAATAATATTGGAATAATTAAAACATTATTTCTTAAATAATAATGCCTTTCATAAATTTTATTTCTTACATTTCTAAATGGGCCCCATTAGTAGGTATGTCTGAGGTTTGTGGATATAGTCTCTCTCTCTAATTGAATTTATTTATTTTGAATGTATTAGCATAACAAAAGTTGGTCGCCCTGGCTTTCCTTGCATCATACCAAAGAGAATGCTTAGTTAATAATAATAACCTAATGAAATAAGCACGATCATTAAAATTGCTAAAAGAAAAATGGAAACTGGTAAGGTTCTGTTCTTCAGATCAACAGTTTCTTGGTCCTGGTGGGGGAGCAATAATCTTTCTTTTTAAATTTAATTTAGTCTTTTTTAATAAATGTGTTAATTTTGCAACTTTAAATCTTTATTACTTTTCTCAAATTAAAAAAAAATCTTATTTTGTCGGAAAAGTGTATTCCCAAAGTGTGGTATTTTCCAAAGTATGTACAGAATATCTACCCTATAAAAGGGGGTTAGGATAATGAACGTTTTCAGGCAACATGTGGCAATTTACTAAATAACGACCAAATTTTGTTAAATATTATTTTATATAAGTATTAAATATAACCCGTATATATCTTCTCTCTCAAATCTAGCTACCTATTAGAGTAAGCTAATTTTAAAGATAAATAGATTCCGAGAATAAACTACTGACCTTTTGCCTCAGTCCATAGTCGATGCCGCTTTAAACCATAGAGCTGCCATTTGAAATCAATAATTTTTTTGTATAATAAGGATCAGAGTTGTTAAAGGATCTAGATACAAGTATCTAGATCCTGTATCTAGATATAAAAATGTGGTATCTTATCTGTATCTAGATAGATTTTTGATTAAAATATCTATATCTAGATATTATTTTAGATGATGTATCTGTATCTAGATCCATTTAAAAAGTATCTTTTAACAACTCTGATAAGGATAAATCTTGGATGCTATTATCATGACTCTCAAATTTCAGACATTTTTATCATGAATTAAAATAATTTTTCTTCTATATAAAAACTTTATGAAAAAATGTTGGGACATCCTAGATATGTATTCTATACCTAATGTATTATACATATTTCGTAAAAAAAATAATTTCCAAATTTAAAACTGTATAATGAATGATTTAAAGTTGAAATAACATCAGAGAAAACACGTTGATACTAACTTTGTATATTGGGTTAAAATTATTTATATTCAAAATCTTAACGCTTCATCGTATCAATTTGTAATATAAATTATCTAATATGGAGCACATATGCAAATTTAGATAATGATTTTATTAACTAATTGATATAATAAATTCTTTCACTCTTTAATTACAAACTACTCTTAATTACTAATGTTAAGGTCTGGCAAGTTTCATAGGATTTATTCAGAATATTTTCGGTTCCAAATTCCCAGGATTTACTCACTTTATTTCCAACATTTGTAATAAATATCATTATAGAAAACTTCAATAACTTAAACCTCCTTAAATTAAAAATATAATAATAGTGTATTACTTAACCTTTTTATTTGTTTATTCCAAATAGTGTTGATAAGCGGCTCGATTTTTTAAAACGGCTAACCCGATATTTTAGCCAAAAAATATTACACAAGACTGGAATATTACTCGTAGATGCCAGAAAGGTTTGGACATCTATTATTCCGGGTTTGCATAATATTATCTTGGCTAAAATCTTAATTTAAAATTCGAGCCAATAAACATTATTTTTAAGTGTATTAAAAAGAAATATTTAGCAGTGTTTTTTAAAATAAATCAAATTTTTTTCATCAATTTTGACATTTTTTTACAAAGATTTCCAAAATTTTTGAAAAACCCAAAATATTAAGGAAATTCACAAAACTCAAAATTATCGTTAATTTTTTTATTGATATTTTTATTGCATATAAATGGCATGAAAATAATTTTATTTGAGATGATCATAAATTTGAGAAATCTTCTTAACTCTATACTGTATTAATATAATTGTTCTTTATGAATACAAATAAAACATATTTTAAAATGAGCCGTTAATAAATCATGCCTCTATAATATTTTTAAAAAAATCTTTTTTATTATAGTTATTATTATACATCGCTTTTATAAAGTTTATATAATAGAAAGAAATAAACAAACTTTATATTTATAATGCCATAATAAAGCTAAACCAATGATTAAAATATATATTATACCATATACATTATATATAAAATTTTATATATTGGTATGATTAAAATTTGTGTTATAATAATAAATCTGCATTTAGAAAACGACTAATATTACAAATAAAAAATATTTTAAAATACTAATATTATTGTAAATTTAAAATATCAAAAAATGAAAGATTATTATCAGTTTTTACTGATCAAAAAAATAGAACTGTTATGCATAATAAAATCGATATCTACTTTGGGATGCTTTGAGATGAAAGTCTATTCTCTAACTTAATTTTTGGAAACTTATCAAATAATGACAGAATCCAATTTAATGTCTAGCTAGATTATATTATGACTTAACATGCCCTTTCTCATATTATGATCTAGTAAAGTTACGGCACTTAGGGGATATTAGTTAAAGGGACATTAATTAAATTTAATAATAGCTATATATTTGGGTTTTAAAAAAGAATGCTGTGAGGATTAGGAATCTGTCAATTTTAAATTATCTACTAAATGATTTTCTGAAAAATCTTTTTCGAAAAATTTTTCCAGCATGTTAAAGTTACCTACCCTATAAGTTTCGAACAAATTTGCCACGTTATTTCTGCAACTTTTTGTTTATATATAAAAAAAAAACTCTTTAAATAAAAATGAAAATAGTAGTTGGAAAGTTCACGGTAAAAATTCTCTAAATCCACAGTGCAAGTTACAAATTTTTAAATTTAAAAATAGCTATTAATATAAATGATTTAAAATTGAAAGATCTTGAATCCTCTGGGTACTATTCCAAAAGGATTTATACCTTATTGTATATATGTAAGCGGCAATGTAGTTTTTCATACAATGTGTTATTTTTCAAACATTAAATCATTTTTTGAGTTTGTATTTTTAAATTTTTAAATCTGATTTTGCCGAAAATGTATTTCAGCATGCTTAGAATACCTATTATGAATTTTGGACAATTTTGTCATTAATCTTTGAGTCATTTTTAATTTATATAAAAATCTATGGAAAAACTAATATAAATTATATTAATTTCAAAGGTTCATGACAAAATTGTCTTAAATTCATGGGATAGGTATTCAAAACATGATGGAATACATTTCCGGTAAAATCTTACATCTTAAAAATGATTTATAGTTGAAAAAGTAACACAGTGCCGAGAAAAACACATTGACGCTAACATATATACTCATAAATAAAGAGTGAATGCTATATGTATATTTCTTTTTTTTATTGATTTACAAAATATTGTATAATAATCACTAATTTAATCCAGCATAAAATATAAAAAAATATTGGCAATGATTTATAATTGAATGTTGAAATTTGTCAATAAATCTCAATGAATTTAAATATTATGATTATAGCGAAAAAACACCTCCTCGCTTTTTCACAAAAGGCTTGACTTTCTAGATAGATTTTATTTTAGGCAAAATTTTCAATTTATTAATGAAGATTTATAAATATGTTTTCTGATTTATTATAATTAATTAATCAAAGTTACCATTTTTTTAATTTATATTTAATCGCGAAATCGATACTGGCTCTCACAGTAATTCATTATTTTATGTATATTTTATGACAAAATATATTTACAAATATTGAACATATTTTATATTAAATATATAATTTTTTTTATCTTTATGTTTCACGAGTAAACAGATTGATAAAACCAAAGATAAAAGTTTTATTAATTTGATTTTTATTAAACAATTTCTATTATCTATCGAGTTCCTTCCTCAAACTTAACGTTAGTTCTGTTCTGCCAAATTAAAACAAAAAATAATTATAAAAAATAAAATCATCCTTCTTTTCTATATAAGATAATATTATATAAATATTAATTTCCTTATTAGGTATTTTTTTTCTCTTTAATTATATAAACACATTTATTAGATTATTTCTTTTCTTTTTTTAAAAAAGCAAAAAAACTATAATATTAAAAACCTTTGAACCAATTATAGATAATATTTTTTATTTCTTTATCAAATAAAAACATATCTAATAATAAACCTTATGCATATACGTTTATTGAGTCCTTAATTTGTTGGTAACTTTAATCTAAATTTAAGCCTTTAAAGAAAATATATAATGCTCTAATTTCCTATGATGACACATTTATATCCTAGAATTTAAATCTATAATAAAGCAATGGTGTTGCTAGCTCTTATCATTTTGAGCGCATAAAGTCCTATTTTCTTGATTTAAGCGGTCTAAAAAAAATACTTTTGGTGTGTTCAAAATTAAATTTCGTATCCATTCCCTTGCAACGTCCTTTACTTTTGTAGGGAATGATTACTATAAAGTTTAAAGTGACAATTTGCAAATTTGATGATATATAATATACACATTTAAAGTTAGAATGATACATTACACAAATTATACCTTTTTTTCTAAATGTTCAAATTATTTTTAAGAAAGTTAAGCTTTAGAAAGAATGATTATTTTATGAAGAATATAAACCTTTATACATTTTTTGCAGCAAAATATTTTAGAAGAAATTTATATCATACAATTTTTAAATATGTAAATCAGTAACGAAGCACCCAGAAGTAAAGGATGCTATCACTTCCCGCATAATTTTAATCGAAAATTTATCATATTTTATCATCTTAAAATCTTTTTTTAATTATAAAAGAGAAAAATAATCATGCCAATAAGGAAAAATAATAAATATTTTTGGTGTAATTTATTTTTAATACCTTAAAAAAAAAATAATCAGGAAATGTTGTTAAAAACTCCGATTTGGATTGACTTTTACGACCCGATTAAGATTTTAGCCAAAATAGTATTATGTAAACCTGTAAATTTTGCTCATTGATGGCAGAAAGGTTTATACCTCTATTTACCAAATCTCGTCTTACTTAATATTATTTTGGTTAAAATACAATACTATAATCGGGGAACCAAAGTATTAAATCATTTATTTTTTATGCAAATAAATAAAGATAAAATCATTATGAAAAATATTGAATTTTACTTTTAAAAAATTAGCGTCGAAAGAAGAAATATAAATAACGATATATTTTTTAAAAAAATTTGACAGAAATTTTTAAAAATTTTTAAAAAAATTTCCACCAATTTTTTTAAAACAATAATTACTTTAAAATAAATTGGGTTATTTAAAAATTTATTAAAAATTATTATTTAGCTCAAGAAATTTAGATATAAACTATGAAGAAATTGATTATTCAAAAAAAAAGGAAAACTAATTCCAACTTTTAAGGAAAGTAATTATAACTTCTCTAACAATCCGTTGGTGCAAAACCGGGGATTTTAGTATTTAAAAAGAATAAAAGTTTTAATCGGTCATATCTATAATTGATTTTAATTGAAAAAAAAACAACCAATTCCGCTCAATTATAAATCTTAATATTTTATATGCATTGGGTTATAAATATAAAATAAGAAGAATTGCTTCCCTAAATAATATTAAACTTCACGCTTCGTCACTGATGTATAAAATATTTTTTTTATATTAAACTATATAATATTTTTTTAAAGTTCCATAAATAATGCAACCTACTGGTATCCACCTGAGTCCTATTGGTCAAGATATTCCAGTTTACCCTATGGTTGGGAAACCGCAGTGGATAATTTTGGGAAATGTTATTATATAAAGTAAATTTTTATATTAAATATATTTTTTTTATACTAGAGAAGCAATCACTTGAATAAAACGAAATATATTTATATTATATTTGAATTGAAAATTTAAATTTACAAAGGTTTTAATATAATAAAGCAAGAAAAAGAAATAATATTTCGATAATAGAGATGAATAAATAATTTCATTTGATTTTACAGAATTTTGATTTTTTTTTAAAATTAGGCGTTTTGATATGAATAGTACATATTGAAATATACTTTGATATACGGTCAAGCAAATTATAAAAAAAAAGGAAATTTTTAATATTAAAATCAAATTTAAGATTTATATTTATTATATATACTTGTTTAAGAATATCTTATGTTATATTTTAAAATGTAAATTAAGGCTGAGTTTTTTCTACTTGTTTTTATTTTATGTGCACTATGATTATAAAAATTATGGCATCATTAAAATTGAAAATCTCTCCTATATTCTAATAAATACGAATGTAATCGGTTGTGGTAGTTGTAAGCTATAAAATATAATTTAAAAAATGAGTATTATTTACAATATAATATATATTTATTTTATACAGTATGTTCTATTCTATTCTAACGTTAATTACTATAACTAAATATTTACATTTAAATGTAAAGAAGTATTGTACATTTGTTTAATAGAAATATATTATAGATATTGCCATGAGCGAACTTTTTATTAGCATATAGCAAAAATTAATATTACTATTAAAATATAATTAAAATTTTACAATATACTATAGTTATATCAGTTATTTTTATTATCAGTCAACTAAATGTAAAGAACATTGTTTTATTCAAAATTGTTCTTTTTCCAAATATTTTAATATTTAAATCAGGGTTTTGCATTTGACTGGCCAAATATGATTAGGTTAATTGCCCAATATTTGACCCGTCAATTATGGACAAATTTAAATAATTATTTTTAAAGACAATATTAACTTTATTTTATATATAATAGTAAAAAATAAATCTATGTAATATTTATTTTTTTAAATTTTATAATTAATGTTCCGCTCTCCATGAAAGAGTCTTGTTCTGATTTCTATTCAATATTATCATTTTATTAAATATTTTTAATCAATCTTATGTTAAAATATACTCTTAGCAATTTTCTGGTTGTCGAGATCTTCAATCGATTTCTTTTATTCGTATGAATATTACCCCCCAGGCGCGTAACCAATGGGGGGAAAGGGGGAAATTTCACCCCCATAGCAAATTTGACTGTTTTTCTAAATATTATTTTAAGATAATAAAAAATTTTACCCCGACCCCCGGACCCCCTCCCCCCTGCCCCATCAAAATTTTTCAATATCAAGCAGAGTTTATCCTTACTGCTAGTTGCATTAATAAATTATTTTCCTATAGCTCACTACTATGTAGAAATTTACAAAAACCAAATTTCAATTTGGTTCAAGTTATTGATTTGGAGGAAAATGTGGACAGGAAGAATGAATGTAGTTGAATATTTCATAATATTTATATAGACGTTGAATTAAATCTTATAAAATATCCAATTTCATTCCATTCTTAGATACTTTTTTATCGCAAATTAAAGTACGGTTTTTAGATAAAAAACAAGTCTTTGGTAATCTTCAAATTTTATTACCTAAAGACCCTTTATCGTTTTCTGATGCCATTATTGGTATAATTAAATATTTAGCAAAATTTTATTCCTATGATGTTGATACTGAAATCAATTTAATCAGTGAATTCGAATTGTGGTATAAATATTTACTACGTTTATTATTTTACCTGAGCATGCTATTGATGCGCTCAATCGGTATAAGGAGGCTAAATTTATTTTGAAGGTATTCTTGCATGTTTGCCTATTACAATATACGAATGAAAGGACCTTTTTCAAATTGAGAAGGTTGAAAACTTATTTACAAAATACTACTTCTCGGCTAAATGGGTTAGCTATGTTAAATATCCACAGAGATTTATTTCCAACGACAAAGAAAATTCTTGATGAATTGGAAAAATTCCCACGAAAATTAAAAATCGCATTATAATTCTAGTATTTAATAAGTTATAAAAACTTGTTCTTTAAAAAATTTTCTAGTCAATATTTTATACTCACTACAATTAGAATTTTCAATCAAAAAAAAAAATTGACACTAAACTTTATTTCAATTTTATATTTTTTTAAAAAAATTTATCTATATTCATAAGCGCGAATTAGTAATCAGGAGACTAAAAAGAAAGCGACTACTTACGTCAACGCATAGGAATTCAGATTATAAAATCTAATTTTACACGCCATAGGTTTATTCCCCGAGGAGCCGATTAATCTAGATTTTCTTCTTCTTCCCTAAATTATTTAAATCCCCCCCCTCCCCCTTCTTCTTCATATAATCATTTGCATTTATTATATTTCTATTATATCTATTATTATACTTTGTATTATGAAGTCCTTGTTTGTTAAATTTCTTGAATTTTCTAGAATTATGTTTTGGACATGATTTTATTTTTATACTATCATTTTGTCAGATTTAATTTGTCTTTATTAATAAATGTTAAATTTAAAAATTAAAAAAAAATTTCTTAAATAAATAATTTATAAAAGGAACCAAAATTCAAATAAAAATTAAAAATATTAATATAATTATTATTGAATTATGAATAATTTAAAAGAATAGATCAAAGATATGACCTGGCCGAAGGTGAGGAAAAAGATGGCCAAAGGGGGTTTGGAGGCAAAGGCCCCAAAAAAAAATTCCCCCCTATAGGATAATCCTGGATACGCCATTGCCCCAAACCGACCAATTTTTTTCTGAAATAGAATGATAAATTGTTAGTAAGATACTAGACACTTCTCTTAATGTTCAAGGTGAGTAAAGCCCATTCCAACTACTTGAGGCAGAAATCAGGTTGTTTTTTATGAAAGTCTCTGCTTTCCTTTGGAATGTACCGCCTACTTCTCAAATTTATGATATCACTTAAAATATTTTGATTTTCATCACCTTGTAAAATACCTAATTCTTGATGCTCTCCTTATATTGGAGATCCATTAAATAATCAGCAGTGTGAGCATATGTATTTGGATAGATTTTTTTTCAAACATTTCTTTAATTCTTTTTATTTAGGTGGAGAAATTATAAATTCATGGCATGATTGAATTATTTGTTTTCCTAATCAAGCATCTCGTTTTTTACTTGAGCCAAAATGCATTTATCTTATTTCACTTGCAACAATAAGATGTTAAATATTAAAAAAAAATTTATACTTTCAAAATATTTCTTCATTTAATATTATATATTTCTTTCGGACAAATATCCAAATTCTTCAACAGCTGCTTTCAGAGCTTCCTTGCATATTTGTTCCTTACATTTTACAATGCTCATCTTGTTTGGATAATGTACATAATATAATAAAATTGGCTAATAGTAATTTTCTCAAACCATGCTTTAGCAAAATTATTTTATTTATATATTGAGATCCATAATGGGGAAAATGCTATTATTTTTATATTTTAAAATGAAATTCTAATGTTTTAATATGAAAATATTCTATTTTAATAAAAAAATATATAATTAAATCAATGCCTTGATGATACAAATATATTTTTAAATAAATTATAACATAATTAGATTGATAAACATGCTTTAAATACATATTAGTTAATTAAATCAATATATTTATCATCAACCATATTTTACAAATTCAAATACGTCAATTAACCGAATTTGACCGTTCAATTGATCGACTTGTTAACCCTGATTTAAATATATGAACATTCGACTATTCTAATTCAAACCCATTAAAATAAATTAATCACGATATTGGTATAATGAATTCATAAAAAAATGTGATTTGTTATTTATAGATTTAAAATCGCAAATAAAGTTTTTTATTTAAAAAAAAATTTGCTTGATATTTATTTTATTTTTTTTAGTTTTCAAAATTCAAATCTTAAATTATTTTTTTAAATAGTCACATCAATCATACGACATCTTATAATGATCCTAGAGAAGATTTTGAACCGGGGGAAGAGACCATTAAACCAAGGGATATTGAATTAGTCAGGGATTCAGACTTAGGTTTTGGGTTTATAGCGGGTAGTGAAAAGCCTGTCATTGTCAGATTCGTCATGGAAGGTTTGAAACTTTGTAAAATATTTATTGTAAACTAAGATAAATAATTTTTTTTTAATTAATTTTTTAAAATAACTTATAAGGAGTCAGAAGATTTTTTTTCCATAAAAGTTTTTTTTAAAATGGTAAATCATGTATAAATATACAGATGGTCCTAGTTATAACAAATTACAAGCTGGTGACCAGATTATCCGAGTAAATGGAGAATATGTTGAACAAGCGCCTCGCGAACATGTCATTGAATTGATAAAGTATGAGCTCCTGTTATAAATGCATAATATTTTAAAATCTCATCTATCTTATCTCGATTTATTCTCTCTAATTAATATACCTATATTTTATATGATATTGAAGGTCATGATTCATCCTTATATTTAGCAAGGTCTAGACTGAATCGTAGACCGATTTTAAAAGATCAAACTGAAGGATTCATCCTTATATTTAGCAAGGTCTAGACAGAATCGTAGACCGATTTTAAAAGATCAAACTGAAGGCCGATGTCAACATTTTATTTATATAAAACTAAAAAATATGTCATTACTTTAGTTTAAAATGTTATAATTTAACATAATTTATAAATATAATAGTAAATGCTGAAGAAATCAACCTAAATTATTACACGCATTGTTGATATATACAAATTCTAATCATTATATGTGTTAGCGTCAATGTGTCAATTTTTCAAATTTAAATCATTTTTTGAGCGCGTTTTAAAAAAATTAAAAAATGTGATTACCGGAAATGTATGCCGTCATGTTTGGAATACCTACTCTAAATTTCAGACAATCTTTTCATAAACTTTTAAACTTAATATAATTTATATTAAATTTCCATATTTTTTTTATATAAATTATAAATGACTCAAAGGTTAGCATCAAAATTGTCTACAATTCATAAGATAAGTATTCCAAACATGATAGAATATATTTCCAATAAAATCAGATTTTTATATTTTAAAAAACACGCATAAAAATGATTTAAAATTGTAAAATTAACACATTACCGGAAAAAAACACATTAACGCTTACATATATATCAACTTTATAATTTAATTATTTTAGTAAAAATATTCATAATTGCAAAATATTTTTTATATAACGCTCTCTGGGTTCATTATCATAAATTTTAAGAACCCTATTGCGACGGTTAGGTCCAAATATGCCTGAAATTGACCTTCTCTATATATACACATCTTTTTAATACTATACTATTTATTTTAAAAAATATTTAAATATGTAATGAACGATTACAGAAATTGCAAAGATAAAGTATTGTTGACTGTATGCCAGCAGAATCCTGATAACGTAAGATTAATCTTAAATACTATGATTAAATAAAATTTACGAAATTTTAGTCTAACAGAAAATCTGCCCTTTTAAGTGCGTCAAAAAAAGCTAAATTAAAAAATAAACCGTCCAGAGTCAGATTTTCGGAGAGAATAACAGTTAATGGTCATCCAATGACTGGAGCTACGGTTATATACCTTTTTAAAATTATTATTTTTTGTAATATTTCTTTCTATTATTTCTTTATTTCCTTTTTTCTTGGTAAATAAATTTTATATAATATATTGAATAACACTTTTATGAAAGTTTGTCATCTTCAAGAGTTTGAAAAAAAATCATCAAATATTTTTGAGCAAAATTCTTTTTAGAGTGCCATATTTATTTGTAACAAATCTTTTATAAGTAAATATTTTGCAATTTTCATGCATAATAAGATAATAAAATCTCCGATTTTTTCAAGAAAATATCAAAAAGATTTTAGCTCAAAATGTTTTTAATTTTTTCAAACTCTGATACTATATTGGCTTTTTTGATATTAATTTCTTCTTTTTTAAAATTTAAATCTAGAATCAACCTTACGAAAGTTGTGTACATGCTATGGCTAACATATTAAAGGTATATTTGGAGAACGGCCAAACCAAATCGTTCAAATATGACAACAAAACAACAGTTAGAGTAATAATTCTAGATTTTCAAATATTAATTTTATAAACACGAGGAAATATATGATTTTTTAAAGAATTATATATAAACCAACAAAGTATCTGAGATGAGGGTCTAAAAATTGTATTCAATTTAAAAAATTAAAAAATAAAACACTAATGGTCATTTAAATCATTTTGATTACATATCCCTTTTTTAAAAATCTTTAATATACATTTTTTATCTATTATCGATTCATATATTTAAAATATATAGGATGTGTTAGATATATTGAAAGAAAAATTGAATTTACTTAGCATGGATTATTTTTGTCTCGTTTTACAACACATCGATGATGTCAAATGCACACGTTTAACTTTGCTGTACGAAGATGATCTCCTTTCAAAAGTTAATTCTAAAATTTAAAAGGATTTATAAATATTAAGTATGAGATATTAATTTTTTTTCTACAACATTATTATTTTAAAGTATGGATTAAATGTTTCTAAACATTAGAAAAAACTACATTTGTAATCAGATTACTTTTCATATTTTGACACCTATATAATTTAAATACATATTTCGATAATGATATAATTTTCCCCGATGTATCAATATCAACCATACAACTGAATGTAATAAAATATAATTCAACATTTTGACCAATATAATCTGAGTATTTTATAAAAAAAATAAATAATATCATTCCACACAAAAAAAAATAATATTTGTGGATTATTTACTTTTTTTATAATGTGCAAATCATATTTATTTGTTAGATAGCGCTTCGACCGGGATCTCAATATTATAGATGTCTGTTTAGAGTCATATATGCTCCTAAAAATCCAGATGATATGTACGAAAAAGACAAAGCCGCTTTAAATTATTTTTATCTACAGGTTAAGTATATAAGAAAAAAAAATATTATATTATCAATTTTGTTGGCAGTGGCTTGGTTAGCAAATAAGCCAAAAACTTGGGCAGTCATGCCTTAATTTCAATTGAACAAGGCTAAAATTGGGCAAAGGGATTCTTGACCTAGCCTGAAAAATCAAATAAGTTGCTTTTTAGTACGCATAATTAATATGTTAGAAATTAAAATTAACAATTAATATGCTATTGTTATGGAACACAGAAATAAGTAAATAGTCCTATACTAAAAAGATATTTTAAACCTTATATATATCCTATATCTTAAATAAATACAAAACCAACTAGCCTACATCAGGCATTGGCCTTTATGTAGATTCCTTTTAATTTAACCAATTTTAAATATCATTTTAGTATGTGGCTGCCGAAACCTGCGTTCCGTAAATAATAATATTAATTCTATCTCACTTGTATAATAATTCCTTCTAATGGTATATTTTTTAAATAAATCATCATTATTCTTATGAAATATGTATAATCATATATTTAGCGTGGATTTTAAATGTGCAATTACAATTTATTTTTTTAAACAAAACAAATTCACAGTGCTTCAATGATATATTGCATCGAAGATTTCGAAATACGATAAAAACTGACTTAATATTAAAACTAGCCTCTTTAAGCATTTATTTACGTTGTCAGCAATCCGGAGTGACAAAACTTTTATCCTCCAAACTATCCGGCAAAAAATTAGAGTAAATACTTTTTTATAGAATCATAAATATAAAAGAAGTTTGTTATAATTTTAATATATTTGATCTCAAATTTTATTTTGAAAGTTTAAATAAACCACCTTGACTACTATGATTGAGTATATAATTATGATTATCATTGACGCGAAAAATTAATTATAATTATGAAAATAGAAAATGATAGATTTGTTAATTTTTATAATACAGCATTATTGGACCAAAAATATTTACATATAGAGTAGACTTTAAAGTCGCCATTTTCTATGAATGTTTTTTTAAGTTTCTCAAACTATAATTTTTCATTTATCATTTTTAAAAAAAAAAATTAAATCCAGACAGGAATTACAACTGAAAAAATTTGTCCCCGAAGCTGTTTTTAGTTCGATGAGGTCCAAAGATGTGCTTAAAAAAATTACTAGCTTCCTTAAGAAAAATATAAATTCTTTTAAGGCATCAAGCGAGGACGAAATTAAACTGCAATATCTAAAAATGATATGTTCAGATATTCTACTTTATGGTGCTCAGTGCTATTCTGCAACACTCATAGTATGTATACTTTTAAATTTTATTTTTACATGTTCCTTACGCTGCATTTATAGTAAACACGTTATCTTCAAGCGTTCATTATTTAACGCAGAGTTATTACAGCTGATTTAGTTTTAAAAACTAATTTAAGATAAAGCTATAGGTATAATTATTTTATATAATATTTAAGAAAAATCTTATATCTCTTTATCTCTAATCATATCGCATAATTTTTATCAAAGCATTGCAAAATATGTTTTTCAAATTTTTCATAGTGTTATCAAAATGATCCATATTTATAAATTTACTAGCTAATGACCCGTCAAGATTGACGGGGTTGAGGGGTAATTAGTTAGTTTGTGTATATGGTACTAAATATGCTTTATATTAAAATTTAGGAGAAAAAGAGGTAAAATTGTTGCAATGTAACCCGTGAACATTAAGGGTATTAGAAATATCAAAATTTAAATTTGTGATAGGAATCATATTGGCTAAAATTAAAAATAGAGATGCTTCAAAATTTTTGAATTTTAAATATGGGCTAGACATTGATCTCAAAATTTTGTTTTGCAGACACAGCTAGGCCCGATCAAAAAACCACGTCCCAAACTTTCCCAAAATTTTGCCATTTATTTCTATTGTAATTTAATAATAATGTCTTAAATTTAATTTTAAATTTAGAATAAAGTTTAAATTTGTGATAGAAATCATATTGAATAAAATTTAAAATAGAGATGCTTGGAAATTTTTTAATTTTAAATATGGGGTAGACATTTACCTGACATTTTTTTTTGCAAACATAGCCAGGCCTGATCAAAAAACCAAGTCCCATGCAACTTTCATAAAATTTTGCCATTTATTTCTATTGTAATTTAATAAAAATGTCTTAAATTTAATTATATTCCATTTATTTCTATTGTAATTTAATAACAATAGCTTAAATTTATTTATATTTAGAATAAAATTTAAATTTGTGATAGAAATCATATTGGGTAAAATTTAAAATAGATATGCTTGAAAATTTTTTAATTTTAAATATGGACCAGACATTGGCCTGAAATTTTTTTTCTCAAACCTGGCCAAACCATAATAATTTTATAATTTTTTCCCAAGCCTGGAGATAGATAAATCTCTGAAAACCATATTGTTAGGAAAATTTTCTCAAAAAGTCCATAATAATTTTGTTAGTTAAGAACTGAAATAAAATATATAAAAGTCATAATTCATATAAAAATAAAATCAGAATATGAAAGTTGCATGGGCTTGGTTTTTTAATCAGGCCTGGCGATTTCTGTAATAAAAAATTTTCAGGCCAATGTATAACCCATATTTAAAATTCAGAAATCTTAAAGTATCTCTATTTTAAATTTTATCCAATAAGATTTCCATTACAAATTTAAATTTTGATATTTCTAATATATGCTCACGGTATACATTGCGAAAATTTTACCTCTTTTTCTCCTAAATTTTAATATTTATATATAACTTATTAATAAAGTATATTTAGTACCATACACACAAACTAAATAATTACCCTTCAACCCCGTCAGCTAGTATGATAATAAACGGCAGAATTTTAAAAATATCAGCTATTAATTAATATATATATATAATTAATATTTTAAATTTAATTATTCAAGTTGGTGCATGCTTAAAACATGCGACTTTGAAACGGGAGGTTTGTGGTTCTACTCTCGTAGAGAGGCAAAAAAATAACATTACACTATATAGTCTCCTTAAATTTTAAATATATTAGGAAGATACGAAAAAGATCATGTTTTGATTATAGAGATTATATATATTAGATACCTATTTATTGGCTTTATTTTGTAATAACGCTGCTTTAAATAACGCCACGCTTGAACAAAACGCATTTACTATAAATGCAGCCTTACTTTTACTTTATATTTTTTCCAATTCTTACAACTAATATCAACAGGAAAAAAACCTTGACATAGGTATAATAATATCGCCTAAGCTAGGTCTTAAATACTACAATGATTTTATCGAACCTGATAGTCTAATCCCATTGGCAAATTTTGAAGACATCCAAAATATCCATATAATCCGAGACAATGATGTTTTGCAAACCTTAGAAATCAAATGTTCCGATAAAGTCATAAAACTTAAAATAAACGTAGACGAGGCTGAAGATATGATATTGTTAATCCAAGGCTATTACAAGTCATTTAATATTTTTAAAATATTTATTTATTGAATCATAATTAAACTCAGAAACCTAAAACGAAAGACCTTTGTCTAAGTTATTTTAACAGAAGAGGGAACGCAATTAAACATTCCCTAAAATCTCTTAAAGGAACACCTTTTTGCCAAAACGGAATGGACGCCAAAATGTTCCGGTCCCTGGTTAAATTTTGTTTTAACATAGCTTTCTTTCTTTCTTTCATTCATTCATTCTTACTTTCTTTCTTTTTTTTGATGAATTTGAACAGTAACCTTAAGTAGTCGACCTGCAAGTTTACAAATGTTTTCTTTTTCAAGCTATCTTCATATGTAGCATTTATGGATTTATTAATTTGAATTTTATTATGCCTTGAAAGTTAGTAAATTAATATCCAATAGAAATGCTTCATATCATTATTAAAAATTCTATTCTATCATTACTTTAAAATTTGGGCGAAAATATATATAAATTTCATAATCACTTTCATAATTTTTGTTTAATAGATGTTTATTCATGAAAGGAATAATTATATTATTTAAATTCTTTATCTTATTAAATTTGAATTTATCTTTAAAATTAAAATAAATTTTTTTGTCTCTCCTGGTAATATTTTCAAAAATGTTAGAGAAACCAGCGATATGTTTAATAAATATTTTAAACTCTAGACGTTATTCATTGTTTTAGCATTTATTTAAGAGAAAAACAATTACATATCACTGGTTTAAAAAAATTTCAGTGACTCTTTATGAATCTTTATTAAAATTATTGAACTTAGGCTTTATTTAACCTAAATTGTACTTTGTACAATCTGTTTATCTTCCTGGAACCTTAACCGAACCGAATTCTAGGGTTCGATACCCTTTGAGAAAATTTGAAATAAATTTGAATGCAAGCCAAATATTCAACCCAAATTATTTTTTATATACAGTAAAACTTATATAATTTTGGTCGTGGGATCAAGATTTTTAATCAACTTAGACATTTAACCAATTTATCAAGACTTATAGAAGTTAATTTAAATTTGATTGTAAAATTTTGGTCAAATTAGGGAGTTGTCCGAATTATCAATAGCTCAAGTTAGAAAGGTTTTACTGTATATTGTTATATAAATTTGGTAACCGTGTTGCTTAAAAGGAGTTTGCATGAAAAAAATTCTTTTTTGAAGGTTTTTTAGATAAAAATTATTTGAAAATCACAAAATGGAAGATTTTTAATGTATAAAAACCATATAATACTTACTTTTTATAAAAGAAATTTTACTAAAAAAATTAGAATTTTAGGCAAAAGTTGATCTAAAATCCCGTTTGAACTTGAGCATTCGCAAAAAAATCTTAATTTAAAATATCTATGAATATCTCTTATTTTAAAGAACACTTCAAACTGTGCTCAAATCTTAGATAAATTTTAAATATTTAAATGTCATTTGAATAATCAGATTGTTTCAATACAAGTCTCTGCCGGTGGAAATTACCTACATAAATGAAAATGATCACGAGGCCCCTCCATATTACGGTAAACACATAGTCAAAACTTCTGGGTGGAATTATCCCAATTTATTATTTGCTCAACATCCCGATATGGAACATATCATCGACTTGTCCTCTAGTCCGCCCTATTTTGATGTATAGTAAATCTTTTATTTGATTGAATTTGATTTTCAAAGTTTTTCCTAAAAGTTAAAAAAAAATTTACCTTTTTAAACAGAAAAAATTTATTTGTAATTTTAAGTTGCATAACTCCATCAATTATTTAAGAAATATAAAATGTTCTAATTTTTACTTGATTCTTGATAATATAATGTTCCTTTTAAAAAATTGAATTTTTGTTGGATCATAATGACGTTAGCTATATATTTTTATGCCCAACATTAAAGCTTCATAGTTTTGAATAATATTCATGAATGAAAATTTTTGCTAATTTTAGATAGATTTTTCTATTTTTTGCTCATTTAAAATATAATTGTTTTTCATTTTTTGTTGCTAATTTTGAAAATTTTAAAAAATAAGCCCATTTAACATTGCATTTACAGTTAGCGCGAATTCACGGCGAAGTATATAAATTATGCTTCTGAGAATTCGCGCATACTTTGGATACTTCGTAGCGAATTCGCGCTAACTGTGAATAACAGGGTAAGTTGAAAAGATGTGATACCACTAATTTATCATAGAAAGATTCAAATAATTTAGTTCCAATATTTTCTGTACTATAAAAATTCATAATTAAAGGGGGACACATTTAAAACTTTCAATAATCGCTCAACCCAAACGAGTGGTCGAAGGAGTCAATCCAATGTAATAATCCAATATTCCGAAATATTCTCTGATTTGACAGGGTCCCCGGAAAATTTTAATTACTTACCCAAATCTAACGGCATCCCAAACAAATCTTCATCCTTTAAACCCGACATGAAATCTCAAGAGAGCATGACGGACATAGCTGAGAAGATGGAAATAGATGATCGGGTTGGTGAATATTTATCTTTTTAGAATTTACCAGAACAACTCGATATCGTTTATGATCTATTTTCCTAGTGTATCTTTTTTTAAACACATAATCTTTTCAAAAAAAGATCTTGGCTTTTCTAAATAGTCCTTCATATTATATAAAAATAAAAAATAAAATAAGAGGTATTTTTTTAAATTAAAAAATCATATAATTATCCTAAAAGTTGGGCTACGCGGAAAACGGAATATCGGATATCGACAAGCTTTCCTATTACCCCTTGATGAACAAAGATTCCTCAATGTTACTGAACAATACTATTGACAAATTAGAAAATATTCCTGGTTCGCTAATCTCGAAACCATCAGGGAAATCTGATTCATCTCGAGGCAACGAAACCGATTCCGAGAGTATTTTTACTAGCCCAGAGCCTAGCCCAAGACATAGGCTAGAATTTAAACTTATTTATTATTATCATTTCAACCTTAATCAATAATGTTTTAATTTTCTTTCTTTCTTTTTTCTTTCTTTCTTTCTTTCTTTCTTTCTTTCTTTCTTTCTTTCTTCGTAATTTATCCTTTAAAAACACTATTTATTTATAAAAGATTGTTGTATCTTCATTCAGTATAACGAAGTGATTTGACTGTCTATGATCGTAAAGTCATTTGATCGTAAATTCGTCCACTTTTCTGATAAGCCCATTTAATAGCTCTAAATTAAGATGGGAAATATTACTTTGCATTATCTGATATATTAAATAAATGCATAAATAGAATAATTACCTGAATAAAAATTCATTCGTATTAATAATGATATTGTCCATTTTGACTGAATTGGGCGAAAATACGATCAAAATCTTACGATCGAAGGAGGCTCTCCCATCGAATTAAATATTATGGGTCATCTATTCCGGTTCATAATTTAAGATTTTAACAATTTTTTTAAATAATTTAAAGCTGTTCGAACACATTTATAACGGTTTAGTTACGGTTCTAAAAATTATAACCATTTATTTCCATTGATTCGAATCCGTTCTTTAATCTTTTACAATGTATTACATGAATAAAATGGTCTTTCCATTCTAACATGTCTTGAAATTATTTTTGACAGAAAATAAAATTGAAATTAAAAATTACCTAGCAGTTATGTAACTTATTTTATTTATTGTTAATACCAACTATTGGAGGTTAGCCATATAGTCTTATTGATCTTAGACCAGGAAAGGTTGGAGCCCTTAAAGAACCGGTCTTTATCTATTGGTCCTATCTGGATCAAAGACTGGCCATGACTTTCACTAATATCAATTAAATAAATTAAACGTATCTTATTTGAAGGTTGAACCTACCCATTGTTCCTATGAGTGATTTTCACCCTACCAATACGCGAAATTTATTGCAAATTCCAGAAAACTTTAAGGAACCTAGTTTTGCTTTGCTTAGCCCAGATAAAATTACTCCTATAATGAATTTTTATGAATCCCAATCTTTGCTAGAGGAGCTTCAAAAGTGTTCCATTGACAATAAATTAAACCAATCATTCATCAATATATCTAATAAAAGGAATAGTAACGGTGACAATGTCAGTAACCTTAAACTTGATTACAAAAATTCCGTTGACGATATATACGATCTTAACCACCATTACCATAATAAAACGGTAAAGCTAAATCATGATAACGACAATTATTTCAATGGTAACGGATCTATGATTTTAGAAGATGCAAATAATACCGATAATAACTTATCATTTAATAATCATAATGAATCTCACACAAAGTCGGACTTCCTTCGGTTGATGTTGCAAAATATAAAAACTCCTGATAACACTATTAATTCAAATAAAAATTTTACGAATACAGAAAAATACGACGACAATTATAATAATTATTACCAGAATTATTTTAGTCCCCATCCAAACTCAGTCATATTCTCCATGATGAATGATATAGACATCATTGATTTAACGATGATACCTACGCCTAAAACGCCAGATCAGGTAAATATAATAAAACTAGTATTTTTTTATATGTAGATTAGTGTTGTTAAACGGCTCGATTTTTAGTAACGGCTAACCCAATATTTTGGCCAAAAATTATTACGCAAGTCTTGGGATTTAATTCTTAAATTGCAGAAAGATTTGGACATTTATTACCAAAATTTCGAGGCTTGCGCAATATTGTTTGGCTAAATTCTTAATTAATTGGCTAAATCGAGCCAATAAATGAAAATATGTTATTTATATAACTCATTTAGTTCGTATTAGCGTCATTTTTCAGAAACATGTAACTTTTTTTAAAATTTTTCAATACTATTGTTTTTTTAAATGTCACCATTTACTATCTGCCAAAAGATATAATGGAAACTAAAAAATATCTAATAAATTTAGAGTATAAAAAATTGATAAATAATTATCTGCATGCACATGAAACGGTAGTAGGAAAAAAAACCCGTGGAATCTACTCCAGAACGTTCTGGGGCTCAATTCAGTGATGGAAAAATATACCATTTAAGAAAATCTGGAAATTTAGGAGGTTATACATGAGTTGATGTTTTTTGCCACCAGCAATTCCCTACCGGAATTATTCAAAAGTAGATACAAAAATTCAATAAAATACTTATTTTAAAAACATTTTCATTTTTATACCATTCGCCAATACTTCTTTAGGCAACTTTTAAGCCTGATCTGAGGATTTATCTACAGACATTGTCGGGATTGAGCAAATGCCTGGAGTATAATAGTTGATGAAATAATTCCCTATCCATGAAATTTTTTCTCTAATAGATTTTAGGGCATAAATAATAGCTATAACTATAATATATCAACATGTAATAAATAATATTTTTAATACAGGAAGAAATTTAGCTAATCTATACACCAGAATTTTGTTTTCGTTTGTTTAAGCATCATCGCAGGTTAATTGTGAATAATATGAAAAAAAATTGCTGACACTAAATTTATGTAATACACATACAATCAAGGATAACTTAAAGAAAGCAATTGTTCAAACAACAATTATTGTATGAAATAAGATGACCATATTTTAATTGATTATTTAAATCTTCAAATCAATTTTTTTTTATCTCACTGCTAATTTTTTTTAATACATATTTATAAATTATTATTATTTTATTAAATTATTCACTATAAAATGTGAAAAAAATTTACTATATTAAGTCTATTCTAATTAAGACTTATATTATATTACATAAAAAAATTTACTTTTTCGCAAATAATATAGGTAATTTGCCCATTTAATTTTTACAGTTTATTAGAAATAGGCTATAACTTTATTTCAATAATTATTATATCACTAAAAAATAAAAACCCTTGTTTATATAACTATTATATTTTTTTAAATTTAACAACAAATTTATTTTATTTTCATATTTAAAAATATAATTTAAGGAAAAACTATTGGAGTTTCCTAATTTTGGGTACATGCCTCCACCAGGTTACATCTGTCAAGACAACCGTAAAATTTAGATTATTTTATAACTTTTCTTCAATTAGTAGTGGCGTGATTATGGAGGGGTGGGGGCTGAAATTCCTTCTTATATTTAGAACATATCGGCGAAAAATGCGCTAATCCGAGTTATATGTCTTGAGTTGTTAGACTCATATTATAACCACTCGCTCAATCTTGCGAGCATAACATTGTAAATTAATTATAATATATATTGTTATGATAGATTGCGTTGCGGGTAAAAAAAACCAACATCCCCCCCCCCTTCCACCCACATACAATTTGATTGTGATCTAATTTTGTTGTCTTAAAGTTAGGGGGTATATTCTCTATAACATAATATATTATAATTTATAATGGACAAAATTATATTTTATTAAATTACATCTGCCAATAAAAAGATCCCAATTATATTTTTTAAATAAAATTTATCATATTTTTTAAAAAAAAAAGTTTTAGCAGCTTATCAACAAAACAATTATAAAGTAGCTAATGGTTTAATACCTCAGCTTCATCGCAGCTTTTCTGACAGTATTATAACGCTTTTTGAATACAAGGATGAAATTGAAGACCCATATGGTGCGAATATCGGGGGCTTGGATTCTAACTTATCTCAGGGAAATAAAAAATCTTTTTCTTTAGACAATGTTTATTACATTAAATCTTTAGATACTCCATTGTATATAAATCAATAAATTATGTATATAATTATAACTTTATAATAAATAAAGAAAAATACAGATTATTATATTACTATTTTATTATAAAATTTTAAAAAAATAAAATTTAAATGTAATATAATATAATATACCAAATACAGTGTCATCTCTAAATTCTAGCATTTAGATTATTTTTCTAAAATGGATTCAAATTTAGATTTAAATTAGAACAAGGTTCTATTAAAAAGAAAATATTTTAAGCATTTAATTTAAGTGTTCTGAGGTTCAGCCCCTTGGTAATTCGCAAGATGACTATACTAATCTTTTACTAGCTAATTATTTTATTTGAAATTATGGTAATTAGAAAATGATTTTTATTTGAACCTTTATAGCAGCTAAACTATATAAATGAATAATATTACTATACCATATTTATGGTAATATAAATATTATTATGTCGAAATTTTTGAATCCTTTAAATTAGGTGTCATATTTTCACACATTCAGCGTTTATTAGTCATAAAATATAAATATTATATTATATAAGTACCTTTTATATTCACCCCCCCTCCTTCCCGACACCTAATTTCTTAATCAATAACCTCATTTGATATATTATCTACCCAAAAAAGCAGTCACAACAATTTGGTCATATTTATGATATATTTTTTATATAATATACTTCTTTTTTTTAAATAAAATTTGACATATCGCAAGCACCATTATGTCTAGTCGAAAAAAAAATCATATTTTTGCATATATAAATAAGGTGTAAGTTTATAATCTCCAAAAGTCTGTAAGTAGCAAAACAAAAGAAAATATTATAGAGGTATAACTATAACATATTTGAAATTAGTCTAATAATATTTATAAAGATCAAATTATCCTAACATTTTCAAAAATAAAAATCATTTCGAGCCCATAGGAAATATCTATGAATGTTATATTAAAATATTTAATAAATGTCGATGCTAAAATGCCTTAGGTACTCTTGCGCATACATATATAAATAGAATCATATTTTTTGAAATAAGATATATTAGTGTATTCTTTTTAAAAAATAGTTTTATTACCCTATAATTTAATTTATATTTTTTAAATATTCATATTTAAAAAAAGTAAGTCAGATTTTCTAAGAAAATTAACTAGTTAAAATAAAATAGTTATATAAAAAGAAGAGGCAATTTCTTAATATCTTTTTGAAATGTAATTTTAATTTATAACAATTTTGTTTTAATGTTTTTAAATTATTGAAATATAATTTTGATCATCGATTTATCAGAAAAATGATTTGCTATCTATTAACTTTAGGGTATATACAAAAAAATACGAACGATTCCGATAAATTAAAAACTAAAGTATCTATTGGAAATTAAGAATTTTTATAATTTTTAATTTATTCGTTCATTCTTAAATAAAATCATGCCTTTGAATTTATATTAAATATGATAATAATAATTTTAAAAAAGATTATTCTTCGAAATCCATTTCTCCAAGATGAACACTCTTACTCAAATATATATTATGAAATTATCTAAAGAAACCCCGAATATTTTTTTTATAATAATAAAGTAGTGACAAATTAGTCTAGGATTTTATAATTATAATGGGATTAATAACATTGTTTTTAAATTATAAAAGAAAATATCAACTCATTAATTATTCATAACTCTATATAGTAATAATTATGTTTTTTTTAATATCAAGTGTATTAATTTTAATCTCATAAAACATAAGTGAAAATTATTTTATATGTCCTGAAGTTATCTACTTTAATTTTTGTAATGATTTTTATGAATTTTTTTTTCGTTTGACTCTTTTTTTGGAGTGTTGTTTATTAGACAAGTTGTCTAATAAAATTTGACAAAATTTTTTTTTCGAAAGTTTATTGTAAAAATATATAATAAAGATCATTTTTATAAGCATCTAATTGTGCGATTTGAATGCATATACACCCCCTAGCCAAAATAAATTATTCATCTCTATATAACAATATATATTTAATATCCTCTTGTAAATAATTATATTTAAAGTTTAAGGCCTTTTCAATCCCCTCTCCCTCATCATTCTTACGTTATTTATTTTTTCTAAGTCTTAATTTTCTCCGAATTTTTCTTTTAGTTTTATGATTATTTTTTTATAGAAGAATTATAGATATTTTAAAATTGTGTATATAAAAATTTTATTTTTTAAAACTTTTAACAACTTTAGAATTTCTCATTTAAATTGTCAGTTCAAACTCAATTTAATCGGGGATTATTTTAATTCATTTCAAAAAACTATTCTGGGAATTTTGTAAATATATATAGAAATGAAAATTTTATCAATAATAACCTCTTCTTATATTGGAGTTGTCCCTACATTCCGTCTATTATATTTAGCTTTGTTGTTATTATTCTTAAAAATGTGGTTATTAGGAAGTGTAAATGCACTTTTACCTAGTTCTACTATACCTAAATCAATGGTAATTATATATATATTTTGTTTAAAAAATATCATTTAATTTTGCATGTTTTTTAAATAAATTTCAAATATCATATAATTTTAAATTAAGATTCTTTTTGGCTAAAGGAAAATTATTGGTTTTATTTTTAGTAATAAATAATATATTTATATCAGAGACTTGTAGATGTCTGAATAGTAGGACCTATCCGAAAATGTATTTTCCAAACTCGGATATTTTTAAAAAAAATTTGGCCTTATCCTTAATTTTCACAATTTTGTTATTTTAAATAATTTTGACTTTTATCAATCAATCTCTATGTTTTTTTTAAACTAATAAATTACTGCAATTTTAAAATTTTCTAAATCTCCTGCTATGGCCGGTTACGGGCTGGGGCCTGCAGCTCTCTGATAATATATTCATCATTTTGTGAAATTTGTTTAAAACTACTATATCTATTTTAGCAAACCAAACTTAAACAGGAAGTATTCAAACGTCAGCACTTATTTAACAATGAATTGTTATCCCTTCAAAGTATTTATATGCTCGATTATAAAATAAAATATCATTTTTTGAGTGCGTTTTTTTAAATTAACGAATTAAAAAATATTTGAATTAATCTGCATAGCAACTGTAGTGATTATTATATAATATTTTGTAAATCAATAATAAAAGTATATATTGACTATTTGTTAGTATATATGTCAGCGTCTATGATTTTCACAGCAATGTGTTATTTTTTCAACTTTAAATCATTTTTTAAGATGTAAAGATTTTGTTTTAACTGGAAATGTATTCCATCATGTTTGAAATACCTATCCTATGAATTTAGGATAATTTTGTCCTTTTGAATTTATTATAATTTTTATTCGCTTTCCATAGATTTTTCAATTAAATTATAAATGACTCAGAATTAACGGTATATCTACATTTCATAAGATAGGTATTCTAAATTGATGGATTATTTTTCTGGTAAAATCAGATTTTTAAATTAAAAAAAAACACCCTCAAAAAATGATTTAAAGGTGTAAAATAACATTTTGCCCCAAAAAAAACATATTGCCGCTAACATATATATTTTTTTTATTTTCAAAATTTAAAATTAAATTTCATTTTTCCTTTTTAACAAAAAAATTGAATTAAATTCAAGACTCCAACTTGAGCGAGATTTCTTTCGTGAATGTAAAGAAGTTAGATCTCAAAGATTTGAATCCTAAGATAAATATCCAAAAACATACTAATAAAAGTTTGCCAATAAACCACTTAAACAAAAATCTGATTTACGATGTAAAAGAAGGTGTAACAAACTTAAGTATTTCCTCCATATTAAAGCTGCATCCTAGGAATGTATTGTCCTGGAATTTTTCCTATCCAATAGGCACGCCACAAAACTCTTCCAAATTTGATTTTTCTTTCCTCTCCTACGTCCCTTTCAACTTATCACATCAAAATAAGTCCTCAAAAAAAAATATATATCACAATAACGCCTCCCCGATTGGCAACAACTCAAAAACATTTTGGAACCGAACCACTTCTTACTATTCATCTTACAAGTACGACTATTCGTTCGATTCGGAAGCAGGTCTCAAGGCTAACGTTTACAACAACAAAGTATACGAGATAACCATTGCTAATAAGGTTAGAGTCCTTAAATTGGAAAGGAAGATTCAATTGGTATCTCCAAGTTTTAAGGTAGTTTTGGTGCACGAAAATCAAAGCAGTGAACACCTCGATGATTTGGCTAAGCATATAAAGGGAGGTGATAAAGGTACTGATGAGTGTGATCATTATTTCGGATCTCTTACAGATGACAAGGAAAGCTACGCTAGTATATACGAATGCAAAGGGACATTGGTATGCTCTTTTTTTATATCTATTTTAATATTATAAATTATATATTTATTATTATTATATCGCAATTTTAATTGATAGCATTTTATACAATTAAAATTATTATATCAATTTAAGCTTAATGAGTATTATCTTATTTTTTGAAATGTTATCTTACATGATAAAATTATTATATCAATTTAAGCTTCATGAGCATTATCTTATTTTTTGAAATGATATCTTACATGATAAAATAATATATATCGCTTTTTTAAGGCACTTAGTGTCTTTTTTAAGGATCTATGGTGACAAAAAATAAGCTATACATTATATCTTTTAGAAATTAAAGGATGCTTTTATTGAATGATCTATATTTTCTTGATAATTAAATTACATAGATTTAAAAAGAAGGGTATCAGCTGACCTTAAAAATGTCTTATAATTGGGATGCCTGATTCTTTATTGTACCTTATTGTAAATCCATTAAGCAAATATTTTTAAATTTAAAATAAAAAATTTAATCTACATTTAAGTCAACTCGCTAACTTTTAAAAATGACTATGCGAATTAATTTTTTTTAACAAAAAGGAAGGTGTAATCAAAACTCACGGAGAGTTTTACGAAATTCATCCCATACAAAATCGTAAATTAGGAACATCATCACCTGTCAAAAGATTGGTCATGAATGATGCCTTGCACTTAGTGAAATCCATTGATAAAAATGTTTCCAGACGCAAAAGATCTTTGAACTCTACTAACTCCACTCAACAACCGGATCTCTGCCCATTCAGTAAAAAATGGCTAATTATAAATCATATTCTTATAACTTGTTAATCGGCGTCCTATCTTGTCTTAATTTTTTTTTATTCTATTCAGAACAGTAGATAGGATTGTTTTTTTTTTAATTTATATCTTTTAAAATATGACAATGATACCTTTAAAAAAAATGTATACTTATTCTTATTATTTTTTTCTACAACATATTCTCTTCAGATAATTATTTACAATTCGTAAGTTAGGGTGTAGCCTTAATAAAGAATAGTTATTTTTTATATTATTATTTAAACATCATAACTTTGTTTAAATATAGGTAAGAAAATAGTTACACCGGAAATATCTCCTCAAGCTTGGATCGATTTCAATTATAGAGATAAGGAGGTCTCACTTGAATTGGGGATTTTCTGCAGTCATGACGTAGTAGAAAATATATACAAAGAATTATACAAAACGTTGCGCCAAAAATTAAACGATGCTCCCTACAATATTCTCCAAAAATATTTGAAAGACATTTTAAGCTTGGTTATAAATTTAATTTTAAAAGAAAATTCTGATTATAATACATAATAATAAAATTCACTGGCATATACTTTATATAAGTTATTTAATCTCTATTGACCCTTAATACACAGTTAGCGTGAATTCGGGGTGTACAAAATTCTCAGTCACCGCAAATTCGAGCTAATGGTGAATGCAGGGTTACAACAATCAAATACTTATAGTAACTATTATGGTGGGGGATAGTCATAAATGTAGTTTCTCATCTCCCTCCCTTTTTGAAATATTTGGACTGTGTATTCTTTTTATATTTTATAATATTTCATAAACTTCATAATAAAACCCAACAATTCGGTGCAAAGCCCGAACCGTCAAATAAAAATATAAATATATCATGGTCCGGGCCGGGATCGAGATTTAAAATTTATATAAAAAAATTGGCCCTAGACGGGGTCGAGACCCCCATTGATTAAAGGGTCTATGATGTCATTTTTTTAGTTGTGAAAATTAACTCAATCAGATGATTAGTTTTAATGTTTGTTAATAAAAATTTATTATGTTTTCAGGTCCAGATCATTTATCATCACAATAGCATCGGAGATAAAATCACCGTGAAGTTATCTTATCTCGCCATACTAAAAAATAAATGGGTAAAAATAATATATATATATATATATTGGTATATATATTGGTATATATATATTGGTAAGTGGGTAAAATATGGTACCGTCCATTTGTATCATTTATGTCACCTAGACCTACGAATACGAATTAACTAGGGAATTATTCATATTCGATTCTATTGAACGGTCCTCATATTTTGGCCAACCGATTAAGAATGGCGTATTTATACCAATCGAATAAGAATGGTGTATTTTACTATTCATATCGATTCATTCAAAAGAATCGAATGCGAATAATTTATATTTGATTCCTATTGATTTTGAATAGGAATAATGTCAGCTAGTTACGAATGGGCGGAAACCATAAATCCGTCTTTTTTTGCCTCCCAAAATTATTTATCTTTAACAAATATGTTATATATCATTTAAAATATAACTTTATTAACAGGAAACTATACAACATGATTCAGTAGACACTATGTTGAGTGATTTTAGCCACTATCAATATAGAGACAGTTTGAAAACTAAAGGCCAATACTGGGATGTAGCTATTTTGTTGACACGGTATTTGCTACACTACATATATTTATATTTCAATTATTTCCAAAAAAAATAATCTCTGATCTGAAAATATTAATTTAAATGTATCTTTATCACATACTATTAGGAAATCTCTCACTATCAAGCAAAATGGTGCCACATATAATGCTTTAGGTATATAAACTTTATCATTTATTTGTTTTGTATACAAAAAATAATGGTAAGAATTATAAAATATAATCTTATCTGATAGCATCATACCACTTAAAATAAAAGATATTTATAAAAATTAGATTATTCAGCAAATAAATAATTTACTTTGGCAAGGAAAAAATAATTACTATGTATAATTTCAACTTTTTTTAAAAAAAATAATAAAGGTTACGCTAATCAATCAGTATGCTCTATAGAGAAAGGGGTGTTAATATCAATTATAGAAGGCTTTAAAACTTCTTATATAGTGGCACACGAAATAGCTCACACGTAAAATTTTATTTGTATTCTTATGTTAGCGTCAATATGTTATTTTCTCAAACCTTAAAATCACTTTTGAGCACTTTTCTAAATTCAAAGAAAAATATGATTATATCGGTAATGTATTCCAGCTAGAGTGAGACTAAAAGAGAAAAAATATCTGCGGAAAAGATTATAAATTATATTTCAGCTTAAAAAATTTCTTGGCATAATTGTCTGAAATTCAAAGGGTAGATAGTCTAAAACATGCTATAACACGTTTTCTGATAAAATCAGATTTTTTTACAAAATTTGATAAAAAGCATGCAAAATATTATTTGAAGTATAAATAAAAAATAGTACATTGACGGGAAAACGCATTGAGACTAACATCACCCTATCAATTATAGCTGATTTCGTAAGTAATTATGTGTTTAAACTCAACTGTCCTAAGTCTTTTTGATGGACAGGTGTATCTTTTATTTAATAAAAGTTTAGGTCTAGTCTTATTAATAATTATTTAGAAATTTTTTATACTGTCCTGAAATCAAATTCCTCGTGTGTTTTTTTTCTTCAAATTTCATTTTATATTTATAGAAAATAAATAATTTTGATTAAATTAGAAGGCGCCCGATATTATTGCTCAAATTAGACATATAATTATCTATTTTTGGAGATATATTATAATAATTTATCCGATTATAGATTAGGAATTGAACATGATGGCCAAAGCAATTCGAAGGATTGTGACCCTAATAATCATCTAATGAGTCCACATTTTCAAGGGCCTTATAGCGATGTCTGGTCTCAGTGTAGTCGAAGAAATTTTAGAAAGAATCTGAGGTAATTGCTAAAAAATTTTATTATCATAAAACGAATTGACATTCAATTTAAAAAAAGAAATACTTTCAAATCCGTATTTTCAAAAAATTATAGTTAGTATATAGACTGTTTCCTTGTTCGACCCAATTTTAAAATAGGCCATTAATTTTTGATTTGATCTTAAAATTAATACTTCTTTTTTTGAATTAGGACACCCTATTTTGGCTTGTTTAAAAGTGTTTGGTGGCATTGTTATTATGCATATTTTTTTTCTTTTTTTTTTCGTTTGTCGTTTTTTTGTTATTTTTTGTTTCGTTTTTTTCCTATTTTACTTTTTAAACAACAATGTTTAGTAATAAGTCGAACCAGGATATGGCCATAAATTATTTACAATTTTACAACATTATTGGCCTCTTAATACGCGGGACATAACACATTTAAGTTTTTCTTTAAAAAAAATAGCTAGTAGGGCCATTACACGGGAAATAACATGTATAAGGATTATGATAAATGATATTAATTATTAAAGTGTCATTCAAAAAAAAATTTTTTTTTTAAATTTCTCCTTCCGTTATTCGACTTTGATTAGACATTATTCGTGTCTCTACAAGAACAAATACGAAAACATATCAGAAATCATTAAGTTAAATACCAGGAAAAACGAATACCCTGGCCAAATTTACAAAGCAGATATGCAATGCAAAATAGCTTATGGTCAAGATGCCAGACCATTTCATGATCCAAATAAGGTTTCATTTTTAATTATTTTTAAAATATAAATATTTATCTAAAAAATAATAATTTATTATATCTTCTTCTCCCCCATTTAGAATATATGCGAAGAATTAATTTGTAATATTGTCGGAACTACTCTGATCAAAAAAAGCCCTCATCCAGCTTTAGAGGGGACATCGTGTGCTTATAACAATGTAAAAAAAAAGAATATAGAAAATATTTCTTTTATTTCAAAAAGTATTCAAAAAATTTTTATTTTTGAATTTTGCCTCCTCTAATTTTTGGTTTACCCTTTAAAAATAAGTAAAATTATTTGGTTTATATGTATTAGAAGTTGGATATTCAAAGAATATTTTTTGGTCTAAAATCATATATAATAATATATTTTTTTATAAAAAAATAATAATTTTAGTGGTGCATATCCGGCAAATGTGTTCCTAAATCCGTATCAAATCATCATTATGATTATTATCCTTTAGACGATTATGCCCTCAGCAAATATAAGTACGAAACGATTCCAAATGGCCAATGGAGCCAATGGATCCCTATTGAGTCATGCCAACCGAATTGTTTAGAAGGCAGCATAGGAACTCGGATGGTCAAAAGATACTGCCAGAGTTCAAAGTAGAGATGAATATTTTTATATTTTTTAAAAAAATTTTTTTATTTTCATTTTAAAATTGTATCACCCTTTCGATCTTCGGTCCTGGACTGCATAACATATTAAAACCTCTATCTAGAATCAAAAAAAATTGTCCGTTCTATTTCACTTCTTAAACGGGCCAGATTATGATCCCTTCAATTTAACTAAAGGGGATGGGGGTTATTTTAATAATGCAAGAAGTTGCATTTAAAATGGCCAATTAAATTTTAACAAAATTTATTCACTTCTTCTTTCTCACAATCAATCTTTTTTTCTATTCTAAGATATAAATTTGTTATATATATATACATTATAAATGTCATAAATTTTTATTTAAAGTCACCACCACATATTCAGAAAATGTGACGGAATAGATCACACGATTTCGTATTGTGAACCCGAACAAGATCATGTAAAATAAAATTGATACAAAATTTATTTGTAAAATTAAATATTACAATTAAATCAATAAAAGGTATGCAGAAAATTAATCACCAACTACGAATTCGCAGATCAAATATGCAAGCAAATATCCCACAATTTTAACGGATATCAAATCCCTTATGGTAATCATATAAATATTTTGATTATCAAAAACACCTGATTAAGCCAAAACCGTAAAAACGTATAAAAATTTTAATCCAGTTCATTCTGATTCGGTCTGGATTTTTTTTGGGGGGTGGGGGGCAAATAAATGCAGATTTTTTTGGATATTTTGTTTTTAATTATAAAATATTATTCTTTTTTTATTAAAATATATATATATATAGATCCACGATCAAAGAACGAATTTACTCCTTGTAATATACATTGTCAAAAGGAATCCATAATACAAATAGTGGATAGATTTCCAAACGGAACATTATGTTACAACCATTTCGACATACTAAAACGACGATATTGCATTAAAGGTATATGTAAATCTTTGACAAGAAATCCTTAAAAAATGGAATTCTGATGAAAGCATCGTTTTTCCTCAGATGTCTCAGGCTAAGAGCTAACACGTTTTTTTTAGAGTACGCACCAAAAAATATTATATTTGAAGGGGTATATTTTTTTCAAAAACTGCTATAAAATTATAGTAAAAATAATCAATTAAGTATAGATTTTATAAAAAAAGAAAATTCCGTTACGTTTGTATATTTGTATTTTTTTAAAAAAGAAATTATTTATATTTATTATTTACACAAAACAGAACAAAAAAAACGTATATTAAAATAATTTATTTTATGAATGCAATAAAACAATTTATCATTATTATACACAGAAACTTATAAGTGATTTTTTTAGTGGCGAATAGTGTTCTTACACGACTAGATTTGAGCTCAATATTTTATTCAGAAAAGATATTACACAAACCTGAAGATATTTCATAGATTGCACAAAGGTTTGGACATCTATTAGAAATCTCGAGGCTTATGGCAATATTTTTTCTGGCCAAAATATTGAGTTAGCCGTTTGTAAAAATCGGCTCAAATCAAGCCATTTAATGATTCTAGTAGCAGGGGCGTTCTTAATATATGTCCAAAATTAATTGAAGAGATCCTAGAATTTTCTATATTTGCGATGAAAGATTTTCAATTTTTTTTAGGGTATTGATGCTAGGAGGTCAGTTTTTATTTTAATATATTTAAGGAAATCATGGGATAAAATAACTCACTTATAGGCATTTTTTTATAAAAAAAATATTGGAATTAATGTTGCATGGAAATCGATTTGTGTATCCAATATTTACTTTATTTGCAATCTCTTTAAATACATGATAATTTAAGATTTCATCTCATTTTTAAGTATATACATAAATATAATGTTAAAAAAAACATAGGGAAAACATAAACAACAAAGTTTATGCTAGAATAAACATAATCTCTAGGATATAAGTAATTTCATGATTAACTTCAAACGTATTAAAACGCGTCGATTACTCTTATGATTTCTTTAATTATTCTAGTATAATCTATGCTCGAAAAAATTGTATACCATATGGTCTTATAGAATGGTACCTTTTTTCTCAAATCAATTGTAAAAAAAAAAGGTATATGGTATGCAAATTGATGAAAAAAATATATATGATATTTTAGGATCCAATTTTGATTGGAAGGAATTTTTCTTGTTTAAAATCATAAAATATTTCTCCCTTTATTGAATGATCATTTAAATCATTAGGAAAATTTTGATCATATGAAATGTTAATACCCTCTGAGAAACGATAACCTACGTTTTCACTCGTGTTAAGCGTGTCAGAATAATGGGCATGGTTACTATATCGCATATTTTCAGAAGGATAGTATCTTAATTCTTGTGAATTATAATTTGATTCCGAATAATTTTTAAGAGGGGTGTTGAATGTCGCAAAAGGGGGTAAATTTGTCGGTCGATATGAATTGACCATATACGTATAATTGTTAAATTGTTTGGAATTATCTGATTCGAGTAACATAGGTATGGAGCTCTTAATTTGAGTTTGATAATTAAGATCTGCTGATTGCATAGCTAATCTCAGAATATCTTCGCCGCCAATCTTACAGTTTGGGTCTATATTTTTGAGCTCGGTTAACACTGTATGTTGGTGTGAATCATTTTCCCTGAATAAGGGTACAGGTACATCGTTATTAGTCAGCTGATTATGAGAATAACAGGACGTATCAGAATTATCGTTTGAGTAGTTATGATTGTTATTAAATATATGAGAATAACAGGACGTGTCAGAATTATCATTTGAGTAGTTATGATTGTTATTAAATACGTAATCATAATATTCGTATTGTATAGGTCGAGGGGATTCATCTTCCCAACATTCCCTTTTTAGCGTATTGCATTGAGAGTCTGTAACATAATTCAATGAAAAGTTATCCGAAATAGAATGACCTATTAAACTCTCTGGTACAGATGTGTATGACAAGATTTTCTCATTAGTTTGATCTATATTATTTATGGAACGATACTCTAAAATGGTATCACTTTGTACCAAATTTATATCCTTAAATAAGTTATCTTCGGATATCATTTCCAGGGTATATCCGAGATTTAGTTCTCCTACGCTATGAGACTTCTCCAACTTATTATATCCTTCTAAATTATTATCTACGGTGGAAGCCATTGATCCTATTCAAAAAAACAAACTAAGTTTTCCAATGAAAAGAATTATATTTATACCATTATATTTGTTTAATTTATCAATAAGGCTGCTTAATTTTGTCATCTTTTTGTGGGTAAACTTTTTAGGAGTATCTTCGAATTTCAAATGCTTGGCTATCGTTTTTTTCCCCACTTTTTCGAGCATGCGTTCAGCCTTTTTCTTTCTACTCTCAGCTGGGCTATATACATAATCTACCAATATAATTTTAATTACATATATAAAAAAATATTTATAGTTAAACGTGAATATTTATATACCGGGATGCATTATCTTATGCATTTTATCCAACTCTTCAGCTTTTCTTTTATAAGGCTTTTTTTGATCGGTTGGCAAAGATTTCCATTCTTGTCCTAAAATGACACTCACTTTATTATTACTAAAATTAGGATTTTGTCTTTGAATCTCACCTCTTCTAATTTTAGCGAAAATCATGAAAGCATTCATCGGTCTTCTAACCTTGTTTTCATCTGTAAATTGAGAAGTCAAAAGTGTAAAGTTTACCAAAAATTATTAATTGGTTATTTTTATACAAAGCAATAAAATATATAATCTTTAAGCATACCCATCATCATTAGAACGAATATTATTTTTTTTTATTTCTAAAATTAGATATTATATATTTCGTTTAGGATAATTAAGATTTAGAAACAATTATTCTTTATTCAACTTAATTCATAATATAAAATCTATTTTAAGTTTTGAATATTATCTTTTAACTTATTAGAAATAAATATTGGTCAATATTTAATAAGTTACTAAATCAAGAAATCTTTTTATTTTAACATTCAAGAGAATTTTAATTAATCGAATAAGGTATACCTTCATATAAACACGGTAATGGTTAAGTGATGCCAGGAGTTATGTTAAACGATATCACAGCTGCATTATTTACTTTGTAACTTAAGTAATCGTAATCAAACTATATTAAATAGAATGGGACCCTTAAAATTCCAGTATATGAATTAGTGATCTGCATCGGGCCTAATTTTTCAAGCCCGGCCCGGCCCCAAATTTATTTCAAAAAGTTTTACCGGCCCGGCCCGAACCCGAATTTTTTTTAAAAAAATTTACTGACCCGGCCGGGTCGGAATTTATTTAAATATAGAAATTAATTTTTATAATTACTCAAAATAAAAGACATATGTTATATGACGTTTAGTTTCAATAAATAAAATCAAATATTTTTATTTTACATAAAAAATTCGATATAACATTGATAAATTTAGATATATTTAAAAAAATTTCCAAGGTCCGGCCCGACCCGGCCCGAATTTTTTTTAAAATATTAAACCCGGCCCGAACCCGATTATTTTAAATAAAATTAGGGCTCGGGCCATATTTTGCAGATCTCTAATATGAATTATGAAGAATTGTATATTATGAATATAAGAAGAATGAATACCTAAAGACTTTCATGTTTTTTTAAATTATATTTTTATATTCCAAGCTTCAGCTCTCACTTGGTAATTGCATGACCGTAATTAAAAAATAATAAGGTAAGAGGAAGTATAACATTAATTTTTAGAATATAAAAATTTAGGAATGAATGGTCATTTGGGTAACGTAACTATTATTATAGAGATCAATTATTTTGACGCTTCTATTAAATAAATCGTCAACAAATTGATTCTCCTAAAGGATTCTTTCCCTCACAAATTTTTGTTTTATGACTCATGAAGAAAGTATAGATAATAAAAAGCTGAATAATAGTTAAAACTTAAAACTGAAAAGATGTTGAAATAAAATGAGATGGATACCTTGCTACAAAAAAAAATAATTATACTAAATAGTATAGTAAATTATATGGATATTAAATTAATCACTTCTTTATATTATATCGTAATCAATAAATGCTGACTAGAGGATCCATAAAATATAAAATAGATCTCTTTTATAATTGATTAACCTCGAATTATTAGACACATAGCCCTTATTTGGTAAAATCAAACAGAGATGAGATGTAGCATCTATTTGATTCTGGCGAATTAGAGAGCCAAGGTAAGGCCAGATTTAGCTAGTTCTGAGTAGATGAAACATTATTAACAAGATTTTCTTGTATGAACATTATTACAGTTAATCTTGAAGAGACAAGGCAAAGGAAAATAAGTAAAATTTGAATGCAATTTTAATTGTTAAATCAAAAACGCATTCAAACAGAGATCGAAACTCTAATATATAGAGTTCTTTAGATACAGATAAAAAAACGGGGCTCTTAAAAGTTGTATATACAAGTTATTCGTTTTTTGAGGGTATAATTTGAAACTGACCTGGTATTTTAAAAAAAAAAAAATTTTTAATCCAAAGCTGTATGGTAATAAAAATATATTTATAGCTGCTTTAAAATTATAATGCCCTCCTGACTAATAAATATCCTTAAAACAGAGAGCATTATTAATTGAATAAATTTTAAGAAAATTGTTTCTTGAAATTCTGTTTTTTATACAAAATAAAATTGGCCCCTAAACGCAGAAATATGCCATTTGGTGAAAATCAAATTTAAAATTTACTTGTAAAATATTAAATTAAGCGAAGATGAATGAAATAATTTCTGAACATAGAGAATACATCGATGAGAATGCTCCGTCTGACAACATTAATCCTGAACTGTGTGAATGATATCTGTAAATCTCGTTCCGGTCGGACCCGGCTAATTTCGGTTGGGACTGTGTCAGCCTTATTATTTTTTAGGTCGGACTAATTTTTAAATAAAAAATCATTAAATTTTCTAAAATAATAGATTTTAAAATTTTTGAAAGAAACAGCACTAATATTTTTTGTTGAAACGTTGAAATTTAATATGAACACGAATTGAAGATGCCAATTTAATTTATTGAATATAATCAAAATCTAAAATAACATAAATAAACTAAAACGTAATAATATAAAATCAAACTAAAAATATAAAATTAAAAAAAATTATAATCATTTTCTTTTTCCCACTTTTTTCTCTCCCTCGGTTTACATTTTTGATCTCTATTTATACTATTAAAATTTACATACCATCGATATTTATTTTATACAATTGTCCTTTAATTTGCTTATAATTTAAACCTTTCAATTACCTTTACTATTTAAACATTTTATCCTTACAAAATTTATATTCAAATTAAATGATTTGACATTTTTTATTTATAAACTATTTTTATTACAATTAAAAAAATATTCAATTTTTCTATATTTAAATAATTTCAGAGTGCGCCGAACGGACAAATATTTTAACTTTTTATTTTGGACCGGACTTTTCGGGATAAATTTAAAAAAATTGTTTGATATCTTGCCGGGCCGGACATATTTTTTAAATAAAATTTAAGCCAGGTTTAAAAAATTAGGCCCGATACAGCAATAATTGTTACCTCATGTAGTTGATAATGATTAATGATTGAGAAAATTTAAAATAAATAATTACATATTTGAGTTAATAAACATTAACGGGCCTTTGGCAGTGTACTGGATTCCTGGTCCAAACATAAAAGTATAGAGTAAAAAAATAATCAAAAATATAGGCTAATAAAATATATATTCAAAAAAAAATTCTTGCATAAATAAAAATAGAAAAAAAGATGATTTAGTAATTTTTTATAAAAAATTTATGTCTATTATCAAATTAACGTTCAGTTTAAATTCTATATAAAATATCATATCATACCGCAATTTATAAAAAGTCTATTTTTTTTTTATTTATTATTTATTTTTTTTTTATATTTATTTTTTTTATTAAATTTCTTTTTACATAAAACCTAGTTAAAAAAATATATAATTTATAAACTTTTAATTATATAATTAAAAATAAAATTCTATAATTGAGTCCCCAAAAAGGAATCTTAATTGTGTCTAAAAAAATTTATTTCGAATAAAAAGTTATTCTCTGGGTTTATTTGTGAAAAGTCGTATTTTATTACCCAGATTTTTTAAAAACATAAAGGTGAAAAATGCCCGTTAGTAGAGGTCATTACTGGAGTATATATGAAGTTTTTAAAATTTTTGTATTTGTGTGTCTTTTTAATTTCTGCCTGTGTTATTAAATTGAAATTTATGTTTGAAGGGAGTGATAAGACACACGTGTAATCCTATATGAGTGATTTGCCGAGGGCCCAAGGTATGGTTGTCATACCATCATCTTAAACCATCTACTTGAGATAAGTTTGATGGTTCAAGATTTTTTGGAATGTGTGCAGCTGTTAGGCTTCTATTTATTATATGGTTTACAGCTGAGTGGTGTTGATGTCGCCCTTGACTAAATATACAATTTAAACCATGTCTACCCTTTGAATCGACTGGTAATTTGCATTTGATGCAGGCATGAGGCTGATTACAACCTAGACGTAAACCAATGGTTATTCTCAATTATTCATCTGATAAGAGATTACCAAGGTTATGACTAGGGAGTGATTCTAACCATTCATGACCACCAATTCTGTCAGATAATTGAAGAAGTTGAATGCAATCTAAAGTGGATTGACTGATATATCTGTTTGGTATTTCGAGATTAAAGGTGTAAAAAAAATTTTGTGTATGATGATTGATAGTAATATAGTGTTAATGGGTGTGTTTGCCTTCCATTTGTCAATAGCGTCGTCTAATAAACGATAAGTAGGGCATATGAAGCCAGAAATCATAGAATTTTTATATAATCTAGATGATACGAATTATGATAAGGATAAAAGATTGAGTGGGAAAAAATCTAAACCGACTAGTTTAGAAGGTAGCTGAGAATTTCAAAAAAGTATAGCCTTCCGCCAAATATTTAAGCAAACTGGAGATGATATGTTTATAAAGCACCATCTTGTAACGATATTTTATTGATAAATTTTTGAAAAAATTTCATTAAGAATTAACAAATATATAAAATAGCAATACACCTAAAATATTAACATATTAATGTAAATATTAAATATCATTATATTTTTTTAACCGTAAAATTGCTTCAAAGTTTTTGTGACTGAAACATATCTTTCTACCAATAAAATCTCTTTTAGCACTATAACTTTGTTAGAAGATGGCAATGCTGAATTTAATAAATGATTGTTAAATATTAGATAATCTTAACTCTTTGTGCGAAAATTATATTAAGGTTTTGTGTTATAAATTATTTTCATCGAATTACTTTTAATTAAATATTTATTTATATTTAAGAAAAAATGTAATTAAAAATTAAAATTTCATTATTATATTATAAAAGGTGTAACAATTTATGTGAGATTATATTTTATATATATTTCTAAATTATTATATTGTGAATAGATACACTATAATGTATTATTCAAAAATTAATTATATTTAAATAAATTTCTAAAAGCAAAAATAATTGGAAATCTCGCTTATATCTTCTAGAAAATTTTTAAATTAAATTTAAAATTAATATTATATTATATTAATAGATGGTAGGAAAGTAAACACTTGTATTTGATTGAGTTTTTAAAAAAATGAGAGAAATATCATAAATATTTCCTTTAACAACTTTCTAGAAGATATAAGCGAGAAACAATTTAAAACCTAATTAACATATCTATAAAGTAACTTGAAGTGTTTATATTTAATTTTGTAGTTAAATTCGAAAAAAATGTAATTAATTGCAATTACTAGTTACCGTGCTTCAAAATAACTATTTACATTTATTTTTTCCCAAAACTATAAATTCTTTATCACAGTTACGTTACTTGTAGTTTATTAGTAGAGAAGCAGTTAATTATTTTCGTTTGCACATACAATTAAGAAGTTTTTCATTAATATTTGGAATTTATCTTTTTTTAAGTATAATGCTCGATAACTATTATAAAAGTAATCTGCTAGATTTTGAATGTATAACCACTTTTCCTAATAAATGATATTTTGATTGAATTTTCAATATTCCAATTGCAATTATTATACATTTTAAATTAATTGTTTATTTTAAAAAAGAAAAGTTAAAAATAAAATATAAAAATAAAATATAAAAAATTTTCTTTCTCTTAAAATGAAGCATTTTTTTATTTGCTTCCTCAACGCAAATTTTTTAATTAAATTACACAAAATACATTCTTATTTTAAAAAAATAGGATTTTGGTTCCACAATGTTTATCTTTTGTAACTTGCACCAAAAGATATTGTATGAGGATGATTTCTTATTTATTTTAAAAAATAAGCAATTTTAAATTTGCTTTCCGCAAAAATATATTTTTTAACGGTAAAATAATAGTAATTTTTATAACGTAGTAAAATATCCTTAAATTTTCAAGCTACTAAAAATAGTATTAATTTTTTAATGTAACATAGATTATATTAATTTTATTTAAGAATATTTTAGAAAATTACAAGAAACAAGCTAATTAAAAAAGAAAAATGAAGATATTTTTTCAAATGGAAATTTGAGATTGAAAATGTCACTACTGACAGGTTATAATTACGTTAACTTTTTTGTGGTAGTTACGATTCAAACATATGATCAAAATCTGCATGTTGCCTAAATGGTAATAATTTATGAAGATTCTTATTATAACTAAATATAGATAACTGTAGCGAATACAATCGAGACATCTCATGAAGATATGCTTGTAATTCAATATTCATTGTTATATTTGTACAATATTTAAATCAAAATTAAAGCATGATGCACAGTTAAATTTATTTGGGACCCAATTGGCTACATGTTCTTCTGATTGTACTATTAAAATATTTGAAATATTAAATGGCACTCAAAAATATAAAGCCACTCTCTTGGGGTATGTAGATAATAAATTACATGTCTAATACTTATGTAAGTCACGCAGGACCAGTTTGGCAAATATCTTGGGCACATCCTTCCTTTGGTCACATTTTAGCTTCATGCTCATATGATAAAAAAGTAATAATATGGATGGAAATAGAAGATAAGTGGCATAATGTATATGAACATGAACAACATAAATCATCAGGTAACTTTTATTAAATTAGTAATTAAGTTAAAATATTTATTATAGTTAATTCCATTAGCTGGGCTCCTTATTTATCAGGATTAAAGCTATCTTGTGCTAGTTCAGATGGCAACATTTCAATTATGACTGCTTTAAATAGTGAATGTGATAAATGGAATATACAAATTATTGAAAATGCCCATCAAGAGGTTAAAATAATTTAATTATATTGTATATATATATATATATTTAACCTTAGCTTGGTTGTAATGCTGTTAATTGGTCTCCATTAATCTATAACAGGTCAATATATACTAGTGATGAGAAAGAGGAATTGAACAAATCAAATCCACTTTTATTATTAGTGAGTGGCGGTTGTGATAACATAGTCAGAATATGGAAGTATTTGCTAATAATGATTCAATATTTTATGCTTCCATTATTTTATTTTTTAATAATGTCATTATATGTTCAATGAGCAAAAAATCAAGATTTATGGTCAATTCCTTTCATTTTCAATAAATTTGTATGCACATTTTTTTAAATATTCATCATCTTATGTTTAATTGAAAACTTATAATTAATATTTCTAATATATTAGGAGCTTCCATTTTTCAAATTTTTATTTTCTATCATTCTTCTACTACTTTTCTAATAATTTCTTTAATAATTTGCATGGCTAGATAATTATAAATATTGCAAATAATGTATAAACGTGTATAGATGTCTTTATATATGAAATTTTAATGCAATAAAAGGTTTTTAATCCTTTAAAATTATTGCATTAAACTGATTTATGAGTAGAGATACAAATTTCCTTGCTAAATAAATGAGGGAAATTTGGGGAAAACCAGAAATTTCTTTAAAAAAATATTTTACAGGTCAATATTGATTTTTTTTTCATGTTTTATCAAAAATATATAGACTATTAATATGTTTAAATAAGTATGATATAATTTCAATTCTTTAATTTGTTATCTTTGTTTGATACGATTCTAGATCTCCATAATCATCCATAAAATCGGTTTATAACATCTATTCATCCTTTATCAATAACTTCATTTTCTTTAAAATTAAATCCACAATATTTTGGCTCAAGTATTTGAGGAGAGTATCTATGTCCTAGCACAAAAAAATTCCCCATTTTTTTATAAATTGTTTGATCTCTATAATTTCGTTCTTTAAGAGATTTCCCTGATATAAACAAATGCTTGAGGAATGCCAGATAAGTGATTTGCCCACTTCAACTTCTTTTATTTTTGTAGAAATGACTTTATAAAATTGTATAGATATGCAAGATTATTTAAGAAACTTTATTATCAAGAAGATTAAATTTCTTATCTCTATAAAAATATAGAGTATTGCCATAGAATATTATTTTTAACACACTATTAATTATAACTATACTGTCCAAAGAGTTGGGTTTTCTAGGCAATTTTAAAGAAGGCAATCCTATTTATATCTTTAAGTCTTGTTTTCCATAAATGTGTAAAAGAATGTTGGGCTTTTGCTACTAAAATTTAAATGGGAAATATTTTATTTACTAGATCCTTGAAAGGCATATTAAGTCCATAGTTGCAGATCCAATGCATTCGATAATTAAGTTATGCATATTGGTCCCTATTTCAATTAATTTATAGAAAATGAATTTGTGATTGCTTTAATAAAATTTATAATACATTCCAATCTTATATTTGTCCGCCCACCATTAATAAAGGTCAAATTTTTATTTTTTGGTTACTATCTTTTAATCCTTATATATTCATTGTTTACCAAATTTTTAGAAATTAAATATCTTGTGCATTTTCAATGTTGTTTTTAAAGATTGAAGTAATTTCTTCCAAATACACATTGCATTATGGAAAATGGACAAGAAATTTAATTAAAATAGAAGAGAAAGTTGGCAACTTTTAAATCATACTCTTTGTCCTTATGTTACTATTAAAAATTTTAATATTTCAGTCAATAAAAAAATTTCATTCCAACATTACTAGAGTTGATCTATTATTATACGAAAATAAACATACATACAAAAATAAAACAAAATTATGATATACGAACCAAGGCGAAAAATAATTTTCTAAAATATGGTAAAAATCCTTATTATTTGATGGAAATAAAATTGGGGAAACTATAAAGGAAATTTCGAAGCTTCCAAGTAAAATTTCCCATAGAGGAAACCGAGGCTATGGGCATGGAGTAAATCGGGACAGTCTTCTTATTTAAAAACTACTTGACTTTGGGACTTGAAATTTATGATTAAAATAGGCTTATATAAAAAGTTGATATGTGGAGGAAAAAATCAGATTCAGACACTGGAAAGATTTTAATGCAAAAAACCTCTTTTACTAACTAGTTAAAAAAAAGTGTGCATGATTTTTATGTTTAAAATCAATTTATTCATGTTCAAAATTGATACTACGAACAACCTTAAACCCTTAACAAATATAAAATAAAATTTCAAAGATTTTGAACAGGGATTTATTTGATACTGATCGTATTTATGTAGATACTACCTCTGGGGATATGCCGGACACTAAATATTTTCATTCAAATTTTTCTATAATTTTTTTAAAATGTGAAAATCTAATAAGAAAAATAATTACGAATGTAATACAAATAAAGATTATAACAAAATTTTAATGCACGAAGACAAAGTATCTATTAGAAGAACCATCAAATATTTGGTCAATGATGGGCCTCAAGGATTATCAAATTCATTATTAAAGTTTATTTATATAATTTGTCATTTTTAAAATCATTTTCTATTAAATTAAAGCCAACCAACATTAGTCCTTAAATATCCCGGTTATGTCCAGGAATACTCCGGGCTTGGGGCAAATTCGGAAATAAAAGTCTTTTATTGCATTAAAATGTTCACATATTGCTAGCGCAATCTATTCTTTTTTCATAAATTACTTTATTTTTTTATATAATTACCTAGTCACTAATTATTGAAGAAATTATTATAAAAAATAGTAAAAGAATAATAAAAAATAAAAATTTGAAAGATTGGAGCTCATAATATATTTTAAAAAAATAATATAATATTTAGATTTTTATTAGAGATGTGCTGTTGCTCAGTATTAGTATTGGTTGATACTTTTTATTTTTTACTAAATTAATCAACTCTATGGTATATAGATACATCTGTCCTAACTTGATTACATTTTCCAAATTTTGATAAAATAGCTATTTAAAACTTTCTTCACTATTATTTTTACAAAATAAACTTACAATTCGATCTAGTTTGGGTAATACTAGTAATTATCAGAGTTGTTTTATCTAGTTGTAAAAATGTGGTATCTGTATCTAGATATACCGTTTTTATAGTATCTATATCTTGATACTATTTTAGAGATATCGGTATCTATTTTTAGATACATTTTGAAATTATTATTTATTTTGCGTTTTTTACATTAAAATAATAATATTTGAATTAAATTCATTTAATAATGTGTCCGAGTTTATTTCATTACAAAAACAAACCAGGCAAATTTTATTTTACGCAATGGATGAAAATCGCATGGTAAATTTTATGATTTATTTTATTTTTATTAATTTAAAAATTGACATTCATCAAATTTTGAATGATTTTTTTAAAAATGAGTGTCGGGATTTTTATATTTAATGATTATTCTATTCATTAAATGTAATAACCACTCTAGCATTAAGTTGCTCAGGTAAAAGCGCTTAGTGTGGTTAAAAATGTCTCAGGTAAACGGGGATGCCATAAGGATAAAAATTTTAAGAATGTTTTGTTATTAAAATCTAACAATTATTTATAATCATTTCACTTTATATTTTATTTAAGAATTATTAAAATCAAACATAATTTTTTAATTGTATATTTGTATGTAAATGTGATATCAGCTCATTAAATTTTAGCTCAAATTTTAAAGAAATCCTAAATTAAGCCTTATGCACACCTTACATAAAGCATGATAAAAATTGTATCGGTATCCCGATACATTTGTAAAATGGTATATGTATCTCGATCCATTTGAAAATCTTTTTAAAGGCTGATAATTTCTAATGAACCTTAACTGAACCCAACTTGGATTAGACCTGCTTGGACCCACCTATAAAACCCCGTTTTAATTTTTTGAAACCTAAACAAATATCGAGCCTCCTTTTTAAAAAAATTCTGAGCCTTCTGAACCCGGCGAAAGTGTTGTTGGATATCATTTGTTATATCGCCCTGTATAGGGCCTATTTTTCAGGTCCGTCCCATCCGAAAATTTTTTTCAACCAATTCTATCCGAAAATTATTTTTAAGGTCTGATCCTAAAATTTATATTAGAAATAGTCGGGTCCAATCCAAAATTTTTATTTTATATTAACACTACGATATTTCAACAATATTTGAAAAATTATTATTGCTGAATAAAGGATAATATATAATTTTGTAGTTAATTCTTTCATTAGGAAAATGATAATTTTTTCAATTTTTGCCGATGTTCGGTCCAGTGAAAAATAAATTTTGAACAAGGTCAACATGTCTCTGTTGATAGGTCCATGTAGGGTTTTACTTTTTATTATTTATGTTTTTCAAGGTCACAAAATTTTGCCACTAGACCATGGGCGGCCTTGAGCCAAAAACCATGATTTTATGGGTCTAGACCATGCAGTATCAAATTCGGTGCCTAAAATGTATCTCTGATAGTTATTATTATAATAGTTTATATGATTTGCTATGACCTTACTTTTAGTTGATAATTTATCTATTTTTATTTGAATAATAGCTATTTTATATAACAACTTAAAAGGGAATCTGATGGTAAATGGGAGGAGAATTGTGTACTTGAAAGTCATACTGACTGGGTTAGGGATGTTGCCTGGGCGCCATCTATAGGAATAAATGAACAAACTATAGCTACATGCTCTCAAGTTTTTATTTAAATTATTGCAATCCTATAGCTTTGTTAATAAACATTTAGGCACCTATTATTTATTTTATTTATCAGAACAAATAAATCTTATTATTTATATCTAAGATTTGATTCAACAAAATCGAATAATTTTATTAATAAAGCCATCTAGTGTTGCGTAATCGGCTAAAAACTACGCCTAAGCCTAATAAGGCAAAGCTTAAAAATCGGCTAAGCCTAATTAGGTAAGCCTAAAAATCGGCTAAGAAAATATAAATCTGCTAAAATTAAATTAGTCAAAATTCTGCATCGATGCTTAGTATTAATTATTATTTATTTATTTTAGTAAAATAATTTATTTTATTTATATTTAATGTAAATATTTTATTATTATCAACAAATAAACATGATATGATTTAATATTTTTTATTTATATTATTATATTTTGAAATGAAAATAAATTTATTTATTTGATGTTATTTTAATAAAAAAAATAATATGCTGCTATATTGTAAAAATGTAATATTCTTTTTAATATAATTTATTAGTGATTTTCACAATCTTCTTTGTAAATACATCTTTTATTGAGGAATTATATTGTAAATTTTATTAGATAAATAAACAATCTTTTAGGTGAAATCTTTTATCATTTTTTTAAAATTATCTATTTATTATTAAATGAGGTGGATTTTATGAAACTTTTTTGATGTTATTTTATATGATCTTTTTAAGGATAATATTTTAATGTGACAATTGTCATAATCGTTCTTTTATAAGTTTTTTGAATTTTTTTGACGAAAATATGTTAAAATAAGTATTAATAACATGTGTAAATATAAATTTAGTGAAGATGTACCAATGAAAAGTGACAATTGTCATAATCGCTATTTTTAAAGTTTTTTGAATTTTTTTGACGAAAATATGTTAAAATAAGTATTAATAACATGTGTAAATATAAATTTAGTGAAGATGTACCAAAGAAAAGTGACAATTGTCATAATCGTTATTTTTCAAGTTTTTTTGACGAAAATATGTTAAAATAAGTATTAATAACATATGTAAATATAAATTTAGTGAAGATGTACCAATGAAAAGTGACAATTATCATAATCGTTATTTTTAAAGTTTTTTAAATTTTTTTGACAAATATATGTTAAAATAAGTATTAATAACATGTGTAAATATAAATTTAGTGAAGATGTACCAATGAAAAGTGACAATTGTCATAATCGTTAATTTTAAAGTTTTTTGAATTTTTTTGACAAAAATTTGTTAAAATAAGTATTAATAACATGTGTAAATATAAATTTAGTGAAGATGTACCATAGAAAAGTGACAATTGTCATAATCGTTATTTTTAAAGTTTTTTGAATTTTTTTGACGAAAATATGTTAAAATAAGTATTAATAACATATGTAAATATAAATTTAGTGAAGATGTACCAATGAAAAGTGACAATTGTCATAATCGTTAATTTTAAAGTTTTTGAATTTTTTTGACGAAAATTTGTTGAAATAAGTATTAATAACATGTGTAAATATAAATTTAGTGAAGATGTACCATAGAAAAGTGACAATTGTCATAATCGTTATTTTTAAAGTTTTTTTGACGAAAATATGTTAAAATAAGTATTAATAACATGTGTAAATATAAATTTAGTGAAGATGTACCAATGAAAAGTGACAATTGTCATAATCGCTATTTTTAAAGTTTTGTCAATAAAAATCAAAAAACTTTAAAAATAATGATTATGACAATTGTCGCTTATCTAGAGTACAACTTCACTAAATTTTTATTTAAACATGTTATCAATAGTTATTTTAAAATATTTTCGTCAAAAAAATTCAAAAAACTTTATAAATAACGATTATGACAATTGTCACTTTTCATTGTCTTCACTAAATTTATATTTAAACATCTTATTAATACTTATTTTAACATATTTTCGTCAAAAAAATTCAAAAAACTTTAAAAATAACGATTATGACAAATGTCACTTTTCATTGGTACATCTTCACTAAATTTATATTTACACATGTTATTAATACTTATTTTAACATATTTTCGTCAAAAAAATTTTAAAAATAACGATTATGACAATTGTCACTTTTCATTGTCTCTTCACTAAATTTATATTTAAACATCTTATTAATGCTTATTTTAACATATTTTCGTCAAAAAACTTTAAAAATAACGATTATGACAATGTCAATTTTCTATGGTACATCTTCACTAAATTTTATTTAAACATGTTATCAATACTTATTCTAACATATTTTCTTTAAAAAAATTCAAAAAACTTATAAAATAACGATTATGACAATTGTCACTTTTCTATGGTACATCTTCACTAAATTTTTATTTAAACATGTTTTTAATACTTATTTTAACATATTTTCTTCAAAAAACTTATAAAATAACGATTATGACAATTGTCACTTTTCTATGGTACATCTTCACTAAATTTTTATTTAAACATGTTTTTATTACTTATTTTAACATATTTTCTTCAATAAAATTCAAAAAACTTATAAAATAACGATTATGACAATTGTCACTTTTCTATGGTACATCTTCACTAAATTTTTATTTAAACATGTTTTTAATACTTATTTTAACATATTTTCTTCAATAAAATTCAAAAAACTTATAAAATAACGATTATGACAATTGTCACTTTTCTATGGTAAATCTTCACTAAATTTTTATTTAAACATGTTTTTAATACTTATTTTAACATATTTTCTTCAAAAAACTTATAAAATAACGATTATGACACTTGTCACTTTTCTATGGTACATCTTCACTAAATTTATATTTACACATGTTATTAATACTTATTTTAACATATTTTCGTCAAAAAAATTCAAAAAACTTATAAAAGAACGATTATGACAATTGTCACATTAAAATATTATCCTTAAAAAGATCATATAAAATAACATCAAAAAAGTTTCATAAATTTCACCTCATTTAATAATAAATAGATAATTTTAAAAAAATGATAAAAGATTTCACCTAAAAGATTGTTTATTTATCTAATAAAATTTACAATATAATTCCTCAATAAAAGATGTATTTACAAAGAAGATTGTGAAAATCACTAATAAATTATATTAAAAAGAATATTACATTTTTACAATATAGCAGCATATTATTTTTTTTATTAAAATAACATCAAATAAATAAATTTATTTTCATTTCAAAATATAATAATATAAATAAAAAATATTAAATCATATCATGTTTATTTGTTGATAATAATAAAATATTTACATTAAATATAAATAAAATAAATTATTTTACTAAAATAAATAAATAATAATTAATGCTAAGCATCGATGCAAAATTTTGACTAATTTATTTTAGCCAATTTTTAGGCTTAGCCCATTTTTAGGCTTAGCCGATTTTTAGGCTTTAGCCGATTTTTCCACCTAAAATCTCGGCTAAGCCGTTTTTTAGTCGGCTAAAATTAGCCGATTACGCAACACTAAAGCCATCAATATTATATACTTTTACAATAGGATTGGAAAATCATGGTTTTTTATTAATAAAATTAAATAATTTAGATTAAATAATAATATTTCTTAATATTTTAATCAATTGATCATGGGATCCAAAAAATGTCACCAAAAGCTTAATATAACCATGCAATATAAAGTGATGAAATTGTTCATTTTATTAAATGAAGTCGTTTTGTTTTTAAAATCTATCATTCCAAACAATTTCAAGCCATATACTTACAACTTTATATTAATTTGTAATACCTTTTCCAATTTAACAAATATTGAAACCTTAGAGCATATTAAATTTTTATATACGAATATCAATGTCTTATTAAACCCTTCTCGGCAGGTAGAGTTACAGTGTCAATTTCTATATATTTTCTGATCTGTTTTTTTGGTAAAATTCGTCCTGTGTATGATTAAAATTAAACTTGCAATCCAGATGATATTAACAGTGCCCACGAGACTAATGGTTATCGCAAGAAAATTTAATTCAGAACAAAGGTTATGGGCCCCTGATTGGGGATCTTTTATTTGCGCTCTTATCATAAATGAGGTGATCAACTTTAAAGTCTAATAGCTATCACAAGATTAAATTTATGAACATAATGAATTTTATATAAACTAATTAGTTAATTGGCATGGCTAAAATGCGAATGTTAACTTTGAAATTTTTAAATTCAGTCCAATTCCGAAAACATATTCTAATTGCTCTGTCTAGGAAATTCAATAAATATAAATATTTGTAACCATTTAATAATTAATCTAACCGATTTAAGTGGATAATGATTCGAGATTCAAATAAAGAACTAATATCTAAAATTTGTCATCTTTCGAAGAGTTCATTAAATTTGAAAACATCATTAAAAATAAGAATTTAGTCATTAGTTAAAAATTTCTAAAAATTATAAAGACATAATAACCATAAATAAAACTTAAAATGATTTTTAAATAATAAATTAAAATTATAATATTGGTAAAATTTATCAGTTATTATTTTATGGTTCCATTAGCTACAAATCCAGAGTGATTTTAAATTAAATTGGTTGAGAATCACGTGATACCTATATTTGTTTTTTTTAAATTTTTTGATTGGACATTGCAGACAGAATTATTTTTACCAGGTTGCTCCAGGCTGCGTCTTGTTTTGGACGAACTTGCTGATCTCTTTTTAAATGGCTCAAAAGATACTCAGTTATTTTTAATATACTCCGTTTTATATATCTTACTGGAAGCCAATTTGGTTTAATTCACTACAATTTAGAATTCTATCTTTTGAATGAGCCCTCAAATAGAGAGATGTGTGATGAATCCCACTATTGGTGAATCGATTATCACAACCTTTACACTATTTGTTTTATATTTGTCTAATATATTTTTATACAGATTTTACGTAATACAACGTACAATGGATTGATATCTAGAATTCCCTATTTTAATAAACTGATTATACATAATTTTTGTTATAAATATCCAAAATATCGTACTCGATTTTAACTACAGTTAATTTCTGGCTTTGCAAAATCCATATTTAGAAATTTTGGGAAAATATTTCGTTGATGACCTTTCCTAAAATATTTACTAGCATTTTTTATACAAATTTTGGGTTTTTTTTTTAATTTTTTCCCCTAAACAATAAATTTTTATTCTTGTATCAGGGTTGGATAGAAATTTTAAGGTTTAATGTTAATCTCTTCCAAAAAATATATTTCTGTCTTCAGTAAGAAGACCCTTCATATCTGATAGGAGAAAATGTATAGAATTTTCTGTTCCACAATTTTTCCAATTACCTTAAATAAATTAAGAATATAAATATCATTTTTAATTATCTAGAAATTTTGCAAATGATTAGGAGCTAATTAGATGTTACTTAGATTTGGTTCTCATGTATATTTTAACCGATTTCTCTGATAACTTTATTATAACATTTTTATACAAAATTTAAGCAAATATTGGTAGAGGTTTCACAATTGTGTCTGCATCTCTCTTTTTATATGTTTACAAAATATTTTAAGATGGCTTGTCCGTTTTTACACGAAAATCAACATGCATGTCATTAAAAATAGGTTATTTATTTTTCTCAGCTAAACAGCATTTAGTATCAAAAATATTTTTTATGGTCCATCTAGAAAGTTATCCAATAAAAATCATTTAAGGAAATAAAAGCATAAATTATCAAAAACAATTTTAAATTCCCTGGGAAAATGTTAATTCAATATATTCCCTCAATGATTAACATCATTTTCATTAATAGTGTTGTTAAATTCCAGCTACATTATGGCTTAGTTAACCTTTGATCTATAAATTGATTTATACCTCTAAGTTGAGTCTCAACTTGAAGATTCAGATAAGGATAAACATTTAGTAAGTTGGCCAAAATTAGGTAATTTAACAAAACTATTCATTAGTCCACGATGATAAAGATCGATGATATTTTTTTTGGAGTGAGGATTTTTAATAATTCAGATAAAATAGCTTTAAAAAGAATACACGGAGAATTTTTTTATAAAATATAATCTATCTACTAAGGATTGAGATTCTCATAGACATTATATTCAAATTCAAACTTTATGATTATAGATTTCTGTACGATGCAAGAAAACTATTTTATTATTTCTTGACCTAACCCCAAAATAATTAAGGATATAATTTGGATAAAAACAATAGATAAGTCGATAGTTTAATAGGTTTTCCCGACATCTAACAATATTATTGGTTAATTTTTATACGCTATTTTTTTAGTTATAAAATAATATTTTAAAAAGAAACAGTGACATCTAATTCATTATCAAGTCTATTCATATTCATTCATTAAGATCAATTATCAAAAATGCTAAAATATGTGTTTGGATTATACTTATATAAAAATACTTCTTATAATTAACTTATAAGCTATATTCATTCTATTAAAATATACTTAGATACTCTTTATTATTACCTTTCAATTTAGATGTTCTAATTGATTTATATTCAAATATTTTTTATTAAATAAAAGTATCATAAATAAATAACATTACTAATCTTGATACAAAATTTTCTTAATGATTGACCTTGTAATGATCATGTTATATGTATTCAATAATTTATCGCTATATAATATAAAGTGCAATAAATGTTTTAGTACCTTTTCCAGCAATCTGTCATGTTTGTAGAATATTCATAAATGTTTTTTTTCTACTCAATAGTCATATAAGACAACTTTTAATCTAGTGCTTATAATTGATATGCTTGTATATTTATATGAATTCATAATGAACAAATATTTCAAAATTTTATTATCTACTATTCAATATAATATTTATTATAATTTAATATATACAAATAAAATAAATAATTTTTCTTGTACATTGAGATTACAAGTTTTTTAAAAAATATATATTCATTTAAATATAAATTCGTCTTTTGTCTATCCCCTGTTCTTGGTATGTTATTTTTTAAGCTTCTCCATTGCCTTTCAATGGTTTGAGTATGTATAGAGAGGTCAAATCTTGATACAAAATTTTCTTAATGATTGACCATGTAATGATCATGATTATATGTATTCAATAATTTATCGCTATATAATATAAAGTGCAATAAATGTTTTAGTACCTTTTCCAGCTATCTGTCATGTTTGTAGAATATTCATAAATATTTAATTATCACTAATTATGAATATCTTTCCCGAGAGACAACTGCCTCTAAGAATCAATTTTGTTCTTCTGCAGATTCCCCTAACAATCCAGATTGCTCTACTAGATAGGACTCTTATATTTTTTCCTGAATAGATGTGTCTCATCTATTTCTATAATTCGACTGGTCCATCAAGCTTATATACCATGTTGTCTTCAAAAGCTCTATAGCATATCTAAAAATATGAAACCTATATTTAATTTCAAATGATTAAATGAATTTCCCATTTTTGAGTTAAGCTTATGCCAGATACGCATTCTACTCTTGTTTTTCTAGTTAAATATTGTATAATTAGTCTAATTAATTGATGGATTTTTGTTTTAACGTTTTCAAATATTGCTTAATATATTGTAATTCATATGTAAAAATAACCAAACCATGATTAAAAAGAGATAGATCTCCTACACATTTTATAACGTAATGAATAGGAATTTCCAGCTCGTTCTTAGAACATTTTTCTGCCACAACAATCATATCATGATATTAAATTTTTATTTAATAAAAATTTTGTTCATTATATTTAAAAAAAAAATATTTTGAAAGTGTAAAAGTAAACCAATAATATTGTTGGAATTTAATCTATTGCGCATGTCGGGAAAACCTATTTAACTATCGCGTTACCTAAAAATTATATAAAAATCAATGTAAAAATAGGTTAGCCATTATCGACAAATATCTGGTCGGATTTGGTCAAAAAGAGGGGAATTGGTGCAGCCCGCAACCCTAATAATAAGGAAAGAAAATATATAATTTTGGATAAAAACAATGAGTTTCATATTCGCTGAAATATTATAATTTTTTTACTGCAACATTTAAACAAAATTATAATCAACTTATATATATATATTTTTCCCATTGTTTCATTTATATCCAAGGATAGGAAAGTTATTATATGGAAAAACGATAATATCGATACCAAAAATTGGAAGAGTCGAATCCTTCATACCTTTGAAGGTGCTGTATGGCACTTGAGTTGGTCTATAACCGGTTCTATATTAGCCGTTAGCGAAGGTGATAATAAGGCAAGTTTAAATATCCGTTAATATAATTATATAGTTGTAAAATTACAAGAACCTAAAGAAGTTGAATTTTTAGGCCTTGGTCATTTTAAATAATTTTGATCATCATGTTATAATTGATATCATTTAGATATCGTCGGTTGACTATTATAGTGTTCTAGATCCATTATGCAAAATTTTTCAGTGGAGCATTAAACACTATCGTATAAATAATTATTTTAAATTATATTATATAATGAGACTTTCAGGCCGGGCCTGAAATTTTAAAATACCCGGCCGGGCAGTATATTTTAAATCGCTATCTATAACAATTAAAAATAATGTAGTATATTTTTTTAAAAAAAATCTGGGCCGGGCCGTGCAAATGGTACCTCTACAGGTCTCTGATTTTTAATGTTGATTTTGAAAAATTACCAACTGACTAATTGATTCATCCAAGAAAAAGTTGATTTAGATAGAACACTAAAATCCTCGGCCGACGATATATTTTAAATTTCGACCAAAGCTCCGATTCATAATTTTTTAAATGTCATTTTATTGATAATCGCCTACAAGTCTATTGTTTTATATATTATTGAAATAATTTTTTTTCGATTTAGTCGAATATAAATAAACATTTAAAACAAAATAATATTAAGCAAGCCTCGAGATTTCGTTAATAGACCAAACCTTTCTGATGACCAAAATCTTTACTAGCATAATATTTTTTGGATAAAATATTGGGGCTAGCCGTTTAACAACACTAAATATGTAATGTATATAATTGAATAAATTTTTATGAATAGGTGAGTATATGGCAAGAAGATCTGAATGGTTATTGGATATGTATTAGCGATGATCAAATGGCCGAATCCAAAAATTGATATAAAATTCCCTCAATATTTATAAATCAAAGTTATGCGCGCGATTATGATATTTTTTTTAAAATAAAGATTTGTTTAGAAATTTGTCGACAAAAATAATTGATATACCTTAAATTTCGTTTTCTCTCACCTCCTTCATTTCAAATTCATTTTATAAAATTTAAATAGTACGATTTATTAAAGGATAGATAGATTTATAAAATTGTTTATTCCATTTTTATTGATACTTGTAAATTTTAGGTAGAGAAAATATAAATAGCAGAGTCCCCATTAGGCCGACCTAAGAGTTGGCAAATATTTTGTTCAAAAAATCAGCTAAGCTTAATAATGCTTAGCCGAAAAATCGGTTAAAACAAATTGGTCAAAAATTAGGCATTGGTCAAAGAGCTCGGCTAATCGTCCGTCAGCGTTAATAAATATGAATAAAATAATATATAAATAATTTTAATAAATAAATAATTAATGCTAGGCTTATCTTACGTAACGCTGACGAACGCTTATCCGAACTCCTTAGCCGAAGCCTACTTATTTATTAATTCGGATTAGGCTTATACGAGATTTTTAGCCGATTACCCACTTAAATTAACAATAATAAATTAACGTCAAAGTAATATTATCATATGTTATCGATATTATTTGCCCATTTATAATAATTTTAATGAATTCTTAGAATTCAATATATAATTAACAGGGTTGTTAAACGCTACTTTTAAAAATAGCGCGTTATCGTTTTCAAATGAGTAGCGCGCTATTAGCTACTTTTTACGCTATTTTGATTTTTTTAAAAAATATTGGTAAAAAACATGATTATAATTTGTTACATATATATATATAATTTATTTATTATTGCACTTCAATAAAACATGGTACTGTTATCCCCAAGTCTAGAGCCTAGATCAGAAAGTATAAGCTTTGCAAAAATAAATAATCGTTTAGCACTAGCACCTGAGGCAACGATTATTAAATTTAATAAACACACTTTTTATATGGAAAAAATTATCAAAAATATTTAAAAGTGTATTTTTAGATTAAAAAAAAAGCATCTAAAGGTTCAATAATATTATTATTATTTATTTCAAAAAAATTGTCTATGGAAGGCCGCAGTTTCGATCTTGCTATAGTATTGGTATCGTGGTTTGGCGTGGCATTTTTTAACGTTACCATCAGCCTATCAAGTTGCCCTTTAGATTCAGTCAAATTAATGTATGGCCAATTTAACTTGAAACTAGGATGGACGATAGCAGCTATTACATTATCATCGTCATACAGATTTGGAAATCTAATTTATATAAAGCAATTGTATTTATTATAAAGAAAGAAGAATACCTTTTTAATTTTCAAGATATAAATTTATCAGAGATTTAGATTCATTTATAAAAAAAATATTAAAATAGCATATTATACACAAGGAATTAATAATATATTATTTTGAATTATTAATTAATACTATATATTAATATTATAGATTTTGTTAAATTAAGCCAATTTAAATTATGGCTAATCTAGCAATAAATTATTCATTTTATATAATTGTATAATAAAAATAAAGTTTTGACCCCTTCTCAATGCCTTTTAGCATAGACTACCAGTTTTTGGCAAAATTTTAGATTATGAGCTAATTAATATACTCAATGTGGGAACATAATATCCCATGCTCATATTATCTTGCCCTTCCAAGCTTTTAAGTGAGGATTTTGTAAGACATAGATTTCTGAAATAATATTTGCTAGAATGTCACAAATCTGACAGCCAATTATTCTTTTTATAGCCAATGCTAAAGATTTTCGTTTAAGATTTTTTGGATCAATCCAATGTGCGGTCACTCCTAAATAAGCTCTAAAAATATGAATATCATATTATAAATCAGAAAATAAACATTTTTATTCTATTGTGCGCCCAGCAATCTGCTGTTGTACAGATGTAGGAGACATCTGATATTAATATTAAAGATTCTTTAAAGCTAAAATTCTTGCCATCAATGTCTGCCTGCAAAATATCTTAGTACGTGGAGAAAAAGTGTTTATCTTTATAAAAGAACCATTATCCACCAAGGATAATGGTTAAACAGTATCTATTATAAAGTTCATTATGACTTTGACAGCCAATTTTTGTACACCTGGTGTTGATTAATCCAAATTGATTAATTTTGTTTGAATTAAATTTGATTTAGATGTGAATGTATCCTCTTCCATTACCCCAAAACATTTGTGATATTTTTCCTTTATAATTTGAGGTGTGAACAGTCTAAATTTATAACAGTAATACTTAGAATAAAAAAAATTATGTAGGAGATAAATACATAAAAATGATTGAAATAACTATTTTAAAATGTTTTAAATAATTTAGATAAAATTTATGAATATATATAAAAAAATGATTGGTCTTTGATTTAAATTTATTTTAAAAATCAAGGATTAGCCTACACATTGATATTAAATTTGTTTAATATATTACCTTTAAATGTTTTGTCAAATTAAAGCTGCTTGTATGATTTGAGGATAAAATTTTGCGACACATCTTGCATCAAAACCGATATCCAGTAGTAATTTTTTCTTCATATTTTTTGAATTTTGGGAAAGGATAATCTATATTTTTCTCATTTTCCAAAGAAATTTCGCTATCTTCAACAATCTCACACATTTTTAATAAATAAATTTATAATGCTAACTAGATTTATAATGTATATTTTTAAATATAAATTTCAAAATTAAATTAAATAAAAGGATTATAATTTAGATTTAATAAAAAATATAATTTAATAATTTTTAGATGTATTTATTATATAAAATTAAAAGTAGCGAGCTACCGCTATCGTTATTTTCTAAAAAAAAGTAGCCCGCTAAAGCTACCGCTACTGAAAAAAGTAGCGCGCTAGCGCTATTTTAACAACACTGATAATTAATAAGTAATTTTATTACTAACATTTGATTATTTAAATAAATTAGATTTATATTTATAAACAGAATAATCTTGATATTATTTTTTTATTATACAGAGCAGAAATAATTATGGATATTTTTTTTTATATCTAATTGAATCTTATCATTTAAATATTATATTTATATGTGTTTTATTATACAAAAAAAAATATCTCAGGATTCGCACAGCATAAAATTAACAATAATAATTAAATTTAGCAATTAATAAAAATTTAGGCAAAAGTAAAAAAATGTTTTTATTTAAAAATAAAATTATTAAATACAAACTACATTTAGCATCAACAAGTTTTCTTTTCGATGAGCTTTCTTAGTCTTTTCTTTCCTTATTTTCTTCTCCGTTTTATGCAATATTTCATCTTTATTTTTTACCATAATGTTGTATAGTTACTATATAATTTAATAGAATATTCGTTTTAATAAAATATATTATATAATGCTTTATAAAATGTTTACCCTTACTCATGATATGCCTGTGATTTCGAGGATGATGGTTTGAGATTTTTATGCGTTTTTGAAGATATGAATAGATAATCCTTTTAGCACTTAAGTCAAACCTATAACTTCCATGATTATAACAAATACTAATGGATTTAATGCAAAACAATAATTCCACCTTTTACCCTAAACTTTTACTATCCTACCTCGTACAACTGTCATTATTGTAAATTCACAGTGGCATATCCAGGATTATCTCATGGGGTGGGGAATTAAAACCTCCCATTTTTTGAACATTCTTGCTTATATCTTAGTCTATGTTAAAATTATTTTAAATATTTGCATATATACTTACAAAAATACGAATCGAATCGAATAATTCCATTATTCGTATTCGATTCGAATTATTCGTATTAGTTTAAATCGAATAATTTATTATTCGTATTCGTATGAATAATAAAATGATTATTCGATTCGATTCGAAAATTTTATTTACCATGAATTAAAAAAGATCTATTATAAAATTTATTTTGTAAAATTTAACTAAGGATAAAGACAAACAAATTTTATTAGTGAGACAAAATAGAAGCATACATATATAATATATTTATATACAATGTGGAAAAATCAATATAATATTCATATCTATAATGTAGAAGATAAATCTGACAACAGCCAATTTTTCAAACATAAAGTTTTTCGGATTGTTTCCTCCTTTAACGACATTCTGTATTTTGTAACCATATGAGCTCCAAGAGAAAAGAATCGCTCACATGGGGTTGAAGATCCCTGTATCGACAATATGTCCCTCGCCATTTTAGATAACACGGCATTACCAATATTTTACAAATAAAGTGGTAAAAACTTTAGGCAAAAAGTCAAATTTATGATTTCTCCATCATCAAATGAAAGAGAAATATCAGGTTTGCCCGTCATTCTTGATGTGATGGGATTAACAGTTTATTATAATTGTATATGTTATGTGTTATATAAATTACCTTCTTCGTCCATCTCTATCATAAAAAAAATTTCTAAAGTAATGGTCTATTATGAGATAAATTAAAATGAAGTTTCAAAATTTGGCGCAATTTTTATTATTCCACTAGGAGATTTTATTAAATTGAAATAATTCCTAATAATAATATATGATTTATATATGATTATTTTCCAATATATATTAATACTATAAATTATTTTAGTCAAATAATTCGATCGAATAATAGATAAAAAATTATTCGACGAATAATATATTTTCCTTATTCGATAATTGTGTTATTCGTATTCGTAAAATACGAATCGAATCGAATATCGAATAACAAATAATTCGTTTTAGGTATATTTGCATATAACAAAATTTTAGAGAGTATATTTCATAATAGATTTATTATATAAAAATACTTTAGCATAAATAACATTCGTTTAGTTAATCATGTATTTATTTTTATTATTTAAAATAAATATCAAAATGTAGATATTTTATGCAGATTAAAATATTAAAAATTTTATTGTATAAAAACTATTTTAAAAAATGTAATTTAACAATTACATAAAATATAAGTATTTCTTATGCAAATAATGGTATTTAAAAAAATATGACGATATTTTCAAAATATAATTAATACACTACTTTGATTGAAAATAGTATTAATTATATAAATTTAACTAAGAATTCATTTTACGAAAAAATTTGATTATAAATGTTATATATTAAAAATTTAATCATATTATAATTTTTTTTATTTAAATTTATAAAGAGAGGCCTACTTTCTCTTAGATTTTACTAATTCATCTAGATTCAAATTTTCATCTAGAATAATTTCCTTATAAATATTTAATAGGGCTAATCCATTTAAACCTTTTTAATTGGTGGTATTTCTTAAATAGGTTTTTAAACCTTTTCAAAGTTGAAAAAGACCTTTTATTAGTGCTGATACTAAGTGATAAGTTAGCTAAAGTAATTAATAATGTTTTAATATTAGTCAGGAAATCCAAAGTGCAATTACACATGGAAAGGGCCTGAGAGCATTTTTTGGTCTCAAAAAATACTCTATTCTGTCAGGATTTTTATACCAAAGTCTGACATCACAAAGTAACTTATCATATAAGACAACTAAATAATCTGCGTAAAACTCTGGCTTGACATTTTTTGAAATAGGAATAAATTAATGATTGTTTTTTCATATTGACAAATATATATATTTTTATAAAATGGAATATGACAATTTAGACAAATTTATACAATGCAAAATAATTTAAAATTTATTTAAAATATACAATAATGATAAAAACTATAGATCAATTCTTATTTATAATAAAATAAATTAAAAACATAAAAATAGTTGTTTTTAAAATTTCAATCATTTATTATAAATTTAATAAATTAAAATTAAAAAATAATTTCTCACATGCCTACGCCATTGTAAATTTATATATACTATTTATTTTTATAATAAATTTGTGCAACAGCGTGTCTTTTTAGATCTACAAATGATGTACAACTTCTATCCATTAGCCTAAGCATTATTTTATAATGCGAGAACAAATGGCATTTTAAATCATTTTCTACCAATTATGAATGTGACAAAGTTTTGATAAATCCTATTGTTAAGAATTCAAGACCTTGAAATGTCTGATTAAATTAAAACTTTTGTTAAGACGAAACTTGTAGTTTTCTCATTAATCACTCGTTTTTTCTTCATATTTTTTGGATATTTTAAAGTTGTCCTCAAGAGTTAATAAAATCATTTAGTACATTTTAATAATTTTTATTTAAAAAAACTTAATTTTTAAATTCAGTATTATGAATATGATATTTTTTCTTACAGCTTGTCTTCTGGCACCTTCTATAACAAGTAAATAAAAATTTAATCATACTATCACTACTTACTATATATATATATACATATTTTGATATAAACATCATTAAGCACTTCCGACGAAATTGAAGGAAATGGCTAACTATTACCATAGTTCGCCCAATATTGAATTAACTTATTTAGCACTGGAATTGTGTCTCGATTCGACATTGATTGATATTAAAGATGGTATCAGCACATTAAAGGTATGGAAAAATTCAAGCTACGAATATAAATGTTTTCTTTATAAATTCTTTCTCAAATCTACCACTACCAGGCTTAGAGAGTGTGCTCAATTCTTAAAACATAAATTTATAGATAATTATTTATATTGTCGATTTCCTTTGTTAAATTATTTTTTCATAAATGATTAAATTTTAAGTATAACATAATTTTATTAACGAATGATTACATCATTTAAACTAGAGGGACACCACCATCAATGATTCTAATCAGGAATATAATTTGATTCACATTTAAATACTAAAACTCAATTATAATGAATTTCTTTCAATATTTGTCAATAAACAAGGTAAGATAATATTAGAAAACTTGAGAATGAAATTGAATAATGGAATTTTCCAACTTTATAAAAAAATTTTAATGAGATAAATATTTCTTTATAATTATTAGTCATTCTCATTCTCCAATTATTATTATTATAAGATCTATTAAATTATTTTTATGAATTTTATCAATAAAATCGCATAGCACAGCATCCACTCCATCCATGACCTCATGATCGAAAAGGGGGATAGGAATCTTTTGCCTTCCTGTATCTTCTAGGTAGTTGAGAGTAGTCCCCTATAATTCAGACTTATTCTCAATAATTAAATATAAACTTGTTATCATCAAAGATTATCTATTTTATCATTTGAATCGTAAGTGTCAGGATTTTGGTAAGCGGGCTTAAAATATTATTAGGGGAGTTTTTTTTCCTCGTAAATTTTATTGGAGGACTTGGCATATTGCAAGCATTTAGCCGGGTTGAATTTTTCTTTAAAGTAATTTTAATTTTTCACTTTTTTATTAAATTTTTTTTTAGAAAATTTTAAGACCAGGTTTAAAAAAAATTATCGATGTCGTGCGATTTAAATTTTGGTTTTCGCAGCATATATAGTAAACGCGATGTGTTCAAGAGTGCGAAACTTTTCGTTATGTGATTTACGTAATCAAGCAAATGATAGTTGCTATCTACGAAGCAAAACGATGAAATCGCAACGGCTTGTTTACATATATTTCAAAGAGTATTATAGCCATGGAGAGTCAGCTGTTATTTTGTTAGTTTTGTTTCACATCGCTCGATCAAATCGTGCTTACTAAAAACGCAGCGTAAAGTTATATAAATTAATTCCTTTGAAAAAATCATTTTAGAACGTTTTAGATTCATTTTACTTCTCATATTATTTTTATAATTTCACTATATAAAAAAACAATTTACAAAATATAGTTTCAAATTATTCAAAATAAAAAAATTTTAAAAAAATTCGTCGGTCTTGGATTTAAGATATGTGATCAAAAATAAAAAACTCGGTCAACAAATTTCCAAAAAAAAATCCCCGGTTTTGGTATTGAAAATATAATATTCAAATCCTAGCTGGTCCTTAAATTGTGACCTATACGGATCTCTGATTATGGTCATTATTTTTTTAAAAGAAGAGTTTTCCTTTATTTTTTCTTTTAAATGAGTAATTTTATGCCTTTTCCTCCTTTCCCTTTTCCTCCTTTACCTTTTCTTCTCTTTCCTTCATCCTTCCCATTTTCCTCCTTCCCCTTTTCTTCCTTTACCTCCTTTCCCCTTTTCCTCCTCTACCTCCTTCCCCCTTTTCCTCCTTTACCTCCTTTCCGCTTTTCCTCCTTTACCTCCTTTCCCCTTTTCTTATAAGGTAGTCAATTGAGATTGGTTTTTAATATATTATACCATTATTATATTTACTTATATTAAAATAAACAATGTATATCTGAGAAATTGTGAACAATTAAGACACATCCATAAAAAATTGACTTTTCTATGACTTTTAGAATACTATTTTAAAAAAGTTGTTTATACTTAAAACAAACCAAAGTATGGTGTCCTATATGAAAACTTTTTTGGCCTAGACTAAAAAGTAATGGCACAGCCTAGCAATTTTTTTAAAAATTGAATTCTTAATTTAAATATGAAATATCGGGCCTTTATACTTTGCATGTGCCTGGTTATTTGGAATCTTAACAATATATTTCAAATCCCTACACCATTTTCTAATCTTAATCTACTTTTAGGATTCATTTGGAAAAGGAATAATAGGGAAAATATCTCGTGATAACATTTTTAAAAATTAAGAAAGTTCCATAGTAAAATAACCTATTTCAAAAAAAAATGTTTGCCTGTATATTAGTGGAACAGCACTACCTAAACCAGACATTGATTTTTAAAAAGGGTTCTACAGGCATGTCATGTCAATATTTTTATCCTGGTCCCGAAGAAATATACGCAAATTGCCCGGCTCAAAATTTTGCGGTCGGAACGTGCATATCTATGATGCACATAAATTTTTTCTTATTTAAAAAAAAAATCAATAGCAAATGAATTTATGGCTAACCAACAGAAGTAGAATCGTAGTAAATATTATGAACTATAAATACTTCGATCGATCAAATGTTTTCGATGCCCATCAAACTGAAGCGTATTTAAATAACCTGCTAGAAATCGATTTTGAAAGTAAATTAATTCTTTATTTAAATTTGGTTATTTTTTTTAATGTGTTAAAAGAGAGCAAACAATCTCCTTATTCAAAACACATAATTGTCGAGGATAGCGATTTGAATCAATTACCCGCTGGGCGTGAGATTGTTGTCATATTGATAACAAATATTCCTCAAAACAAAAGAAAAAATTTTTATAGTATCGCAAAAGAATATCCTAATAAAAGTAACAAAAACTACCCTTTTTCATATGCATTTATTAACATCTAATTCGAAAACATTTTTTTACATTTATAATAGAAATAGTGGCCTTCAATTTTTTTGTACGTGAGGAAGCAGACCCCGGCAATCATCACAAAGGAGCTTATCTCTATCCAACCTTTTCTCAATTAAACGAACATATTACGGAAATTCGTAATCTCCACAGAAAGCCCACTTTTTAATTATATTATTAAACTTGACTTAAATTAAAATAAAATATAGAAATTGGTTTTCGCTATTATCATTTACATTAGTTTTTATAATGTGTTTCTTATAGTAATATAAATAAATTTTAGCTTTTGCAAATACAGATATTAGAAATCATTGACTAGCATTAATTGTAAAAAGTATTTCTACAAGTTATAATTTTCAATACTACTCTTGTAAATGATCCATCTTAATCATTGGGTTTTATGGAATTAAAAATATTAGTTAGTTCTAGTCTAGATTTTTATATTTTTGGTAATAATCTTATTTCTCTATACTAGCTACTAAACTAATTAAAATTGGTCTAGGTTTTAAAAATTGGTGCTCCCAATTGCCCTGTCAATTTCCCGAAGATCTGAATAAAGATATAATTTTATAAGCATCGGTGTTACGAGTAGGTAGATGGAACTCCCCAAACAATTTCTGAACTGTTGTATTTATTTGAACCCAAACCCGCAGCGATATTTGTTTTGGTTCAGATCCTATCTTAAATTAATCATGTTTACTATTTATAAATGTTAATAATCTTATCATTAAAAATTTTTTATATATTATATACAAAAAGTAATTATAATCATATAATCTTAAGTTAACAAAATTTTACATATGATTATTAAGGCATGATCCCATGGCCACTTATTACCCTTCTTTTTATTATTAAATGGCTCTTTATATGATAAATATAGTTTAAGATTCCTATTATTTGGTGAACATAGCTTAAAGAGAATGCAATTTTTGTTTAATAGGTTACTGAAACGTTCAAAAATTTTTTTTATTAGATTAAGTTGAATAAATAAATATATATAGATAGGGTATTATATAATTACACATATCATGTACTTCAGATAAAATGACCAGTCAATCCCGATAGCCATTTATCTTCGGCACTATGTAAAAAGATTAGTATATAATATTTCCTTAATAATACATCCGGTATTTAAACTCTAAAACAACTCGATCAAAAAAATTGGGAAGCCTTTAGAACAAAGATTTTATTATAAAAAATTTTTGACAAAGAATTAGTGGAAAATTTGGAATAAGATTAAATATTAAATATTTTTAATCAATTTCCAAAAATAGAATTATTCATCAGTAAAACTATTATTTATTAATTATAGTTCCGTCACAGGTGCACAAATGACGCTTTTTTGTAATCTGTCCTTTTTGCTTTTGGTAGGAAGTTAAGAACAAATTGTGAAACACTTCCAATATCTAAAAATAAATTTATATAATTTTTAATCATTATTATTAGAGGTTTTGAGCCAAGGATTTGCAAAAAATTTACAAAATGTGGCGAGTTGTAAAATTATTCAGATTTTTAAAATCATGGCAATTTTTAATCGTAAAATTATATAATATCCAGCCATGCTATCATTGTAAGTGGTTAATTATTGATAATTAAAATTATAATATTATAAAAGAATTCAATAACATTATTCCTTCTATTCGTTCAAAACTTAGTTCCACCTCTAAGTGTTTATTAAATGTCCAAAAATTGTCAAATTTAACTGACTACCTGTAGTCTAAATATAAAGCTAATTCTAAAAATTTTTCTTGTAAGGTAATTTAGAGTCTTTATCGGCTTCTTAATTTGACATTTATGATTTCAACTGATTATATTGAGGGGAAAAAATGATATTAGGGCTGAGTTTTATTCTATTGTACAATGGTTTTAAAGTAAAATCCATATTTTGACTATATATTTAATATTTTAAAATAAATTTGTTTTTGTTTTAACAATAAATACAAAAACAAATAAATATTGCCACCTTAATAATATTTTATTCGCTCCGGTAGTCTCAGACACCTGTGGATCATTCGGACCCCAAGCCTTAAAATTATTCAAAACAATAGGGCAAAGGTTACGATTAATCACAGGTGATCCGAAAGAAGGTTTCTACCTCCGCCCAAAGGATTTCAATCTTAATCTGCCGTTCAAACTGTATATTCATTCATGGGTCATTAAGCCCCGTGGACCACACCTAATTAGATATCCCTCTTTTTTTTTTTTAAATAATTTTTTAATTTTTTTTTTCTTAATTTCCCTTCTTTTAATTATATGTTTTTATATTGATTTTTTTGTTTTTAATATATATTTTTAATTCAATAGTGTATATAAATGTTCATGTTTATGTTTTAATTTTTTTACCGAATAAAGTTTATTAAATTTAAAAAAAAAAAAAAAAATACAGTTAAATATAATCTAATCAATTTTCAACAATGATTACAAGTTTCATTTGTAATTTTAAATTTATTAAAAGATTGTTTAATAAATTGTTAATTTGAAGTTATGTACAAGTTAATTTTTTGTTTAAATTTTGTGATATTTTCATATACTTTTTTAGTGTTATCGAACTTACAATATCAGAATGTTATTATATAATAAATGAATACAACAATTGTATGACAAACTTGAAATCCTTATTATTGTTCAAGCAAAGACTGCTAGAAGAATACGAAAATATGATCAATAACTGTAAGTATTTTTTTTTAAACATAATTATTCAAAATTTTTGGCCTAGAAAAAATTAATATAATTTGACTAATAAGTGAGTGTTTACTATATATTATACATTTCAAGATTTACATTTTAAAATTATATCCGTCATTATGATAACCAAGCTTCGCTACGTTTACAGTATGCACGAAAATTTTTCGCTACCAAATTTACATAAAAACCAATAATAGGTATAAAATAATTTATAAATACTGAGTGAAATGGAAATCGGGACAACTGCTTACGTCATTTCGCTAGTGACTAATTTCGAGAGCTATAAACAATAATATGGCATAATAAAAGCCATAGACATAAAACATTATAAAAATATAATTCACAAGATTCAATTTATCATTGTAAACATTACTCTGGTATCATGGAAGAAAGCTGGATTAAAAAAAAGTTAACGCGTCAAAAAATGTATTTTTATGCAAATTTTCTATTCTATGTTTCTTATAAATGGGAAATCATTTTAAGCAGATATTAGCAGTAACAGAAAAATAATTAGCCTCATTTTTTTTAAAAAAATAATATATTGGGTGTTTGTTTTGAGGATAATGGAGCGATTGATTTTCTCATATCTAACCTACATATAGATTAAATTTAGTCGGAGAATCATAGCTCATCTACAAAAATCTCAATGGCCATTTAATTTGCCTCGTGTAATACTTTCGGTGATATATGGCAAGGGACCTAATGTCAAAAACGGTGTTTTAATTGCAAATTTTATCCAGATTTTTAGATCATATTCAATAATTCCTATCCTAAAAGAGAGGATATGTGAGATTATAGTTTGTTAACTGGATAATAATGGGAGGATTGTTTTATGGCAAAGCTAAAACTTAGCATTTATAATCGATAAATAAAATGTGAATTATCCTTTTTAGTAATGCTGATTCGTATGCTAACTTTAGTCAGGAAGCACCTTACTTATTAATTAAAATAGTGATATATTTAACCTAGTCTGATTTTTTTAAAAAATAAAAATTAAATGAAATTAATAGGGTATTTAATTTTGTAATGTATCAAGTCTTTATGCTGGGAAAATATACCCTTTTTTATCGTAACCATTTATTAGCTATTTTATAATATAAATTTCGGAATTGAAAGCTGTAATAGATTGCAATTTTGATAAATTTTGAAATTTAAATTAATTTTGATATTTATATCATAATAATTTTTTTTGAAATCTCTAAAATGTCCTGCTAGGCAGAATTAAAATCGACGTAACATCAACAATAAAATATTGGCCCAATTTATGATGATGAAAAACTGTTTTAAGATGAATGACATTTAATTTTATATTCCAAAATACTATAAGAATAAGGTTAAACCTCCACTCTATCGCTAGTTTTCGTGTTTACACTTTTTAATCTTAATATTTTTAATGAATTTGTTTATTACAAATGGATGTTTTTTATGTATAGCTTTAAAGTAGAAAATATAATAGTTCCATACATCTTATTTCTATCTGTAAATCTAATTTCCAGAATAGAACTAATCCTCTATTTAAAAGTGGTAATTAAAGGTCTTAATCTTTTGGCTCTAACCCATACAACTTCTGGTAATAAAAAAATTATTATAACTTGACCAGGTCCAACTTTTATATTTTTCAATTTTAATCTTATAAATAATGATATAAAATATTTCCTACCTAATAATTTTCTTTATTATTAAATTCAATAATTGCCATTTCAAGCAGAGGAATATAAATGAAATACAACATTAAAATTATTTAGGTCACAGACCAGCTAGGCCTATATTTTATATTGCCTTCAGCCCTGCAAGTTTTTACAAGTTATTTATACTCCAAAAATGGTCAGCATATTATTTAAATATTAAAAATATAATTCCATCTTTCTTAGACGTTTACATCTGGAAAATGTTGAAGATGTCATCCATAATACAGGGCAGACATGACTTTCTGTGTCTTACCAATTGCTAAATATTTAGGCATAGATAGCAGCAAATAAAATAAAACGAGATTTAGTCTGATATATTTTTCGTTATTTCATGCTATAAAATCATGTCAGGGGAAAAACTTTTTGATAAGACTGAGCTGAAAAATTAATTTTCAGGATTCTCATTCCAAATTTTAAGTAGCAAATTACCCAGGGTTTTTTCACATTACTAAAGACTCATTGGATTATGCACAAATCAGTCAGTTTGGTCTGTTGCCTAATTAAAAATATTTAAATTTCTGAACCACAATTTAGTTTAACAGCTCTAGTTATAATAAACACTATATTTGTCCTAAACTATTTTTTGAAGAAATTTGCAATAGTAATACAAGACAAATTCTAATATATATATTAAATACTAAAGATTGGTGGTTCATGCAGAAATTTTTTTTAGTATTAGATAATTAATTTTTTACATAAATATCTATCTTTGTGATTACAAAATATGCAAAAAAAGCTATTTAGCTAAAAAAAACTTGAGCTATACAATTTATTTAAAAAATATAATTCAGGCTTGTAGAAAAAACACCATACCATTTAAATATATAAGATCATATAAAATCAACACTAGTTTTTTTAATTACAATAAAAGTATAATCTCAATAAAAAAAATTTATATAATTACAAAACTAAATATATAAGATCATATAATATGAAAACTAGCTTAATTTAAATTAAAGTACAAGTATAATCTCAATATAGAAAATTTATATGATAATAAATATAAAAATAACTATCTCAAAATTTGTAACTAAACCAAGCTAATGGGTTTTTCAAAACCTTTATTTTCAAAACATTACAACAGCTAAATATATATTGAGCTATAATTTGGTTTATATATTATGTAAATATTAATTTATTACTCAAAATAATGAAAAAAACAACCTTGTTAATTTTTTTAGTATATTAAGGACTAATTAAAACAATCAGAAAAATTATATAAATATATATATAAGAATATATTACATATTTGAAATAACTAATTTTATATACATTCATTTATAATTGTCATTTTGATCAGTGTAAAAGATGGTTAAAAATATAAGCTAATATTTTGATTATATAACAAGTGAAAAAAATAAAGATGCACAAATTATGTGATTTGGAGAATTGTTCATAGTAAAAATATAATTTGTATACAATCTACATTATAATTATGAAATATCAGCACCACCTTTAGTTGGAAAGATTAAGCTAGTCATAATAAATGTGACATCAAATCATTTTGAAAAGTCCATATAAAATAGTGCTGAAAGTGATTTTAACTTTCTTTTTTTATCAAATCAATCAAAAATATATATATTTGGCAATCATGGTGTTTCATTAACCCTAAAAACATTAATGACTTATTTTAAATTTGACCAAAATATGAAAACTATTAAAATATCAGCTTGCTTGATTAAATATTAAAAGAGTGTACAACTATGAGATATCAATGAGAACTTTTTTTAAAAGATGCCTATAATGCTTGTATAAAAATATTTAAATTCAAACAAATTTATAGACATAAAGGAATGGGAAAATATAATTAAATGGGAACAGGGTTTATCATTATTCAAGCTGATAATCTCTTCAAATCATTCATCTAGTCTTGCAATATTACAAGAAAATGTATATAAATTATAATGTTTAATATATTTTTTTTATATAAGATTTTAACTCAATTAAATGAACTTAAGCAGGAAAAATCTATAGTAAAAAAATGTTATGATATAAAAAGAAGTTGCCCAAGTAAATATAAAAATAGATTTAGGAGACCAATATAAAGTAAATTTATTGATAATACAAATAGTTTATTTTATTTATAAATATGTATATATTAATATTATTCAGGCTTCAGGACCTTCACCTCCTGGTATCAACTAAAACAAATAGAAAAATATTAATAAAGCAATCAAAATAAACATTGTATATAATTATTTTATATATTATATGAGTAAATAATATATAATAAATAAGTTATATTATTTAATATCCCTTAATATTTTTACACAAAATAACTCTAATCTCAAAGTATTCTGTGGCGCAATAAGGGTTTTTCTATTTTTAAAAATAATCATGTTTTATACCATAGTAATATTATTGCCATTCAAAAGTATCTGATCCAATTTGGAAACTCTTCTTCCTTCTGGTGTGTTTTCACTAATTATAAAAATAACTACAATTCAAATATTTAATATATTACTATTCAGTCACATCATCTAGTACCATATCTGAATATATAATAGTACTTTAACTAAATATTTTACATAAAGTAATTATTAATTATGGACATAGGGGATTCTTATAATCATGTAAAAGGTAAAACTTACTGACAAAATCGTCAAATCCTAGCAATGTTCCAATAATCTCTCGCTCGGTCTTCATAATAATGTGAATCCTGGAACCAATACATTTGTCAATTAATTCTAATATAAATTATAAGAGTAACAATAAATAATAATTTACCGAGCGGTAATAATTGGGTAGTCATAAATTCAAATTTTTACAATTCTACCTAAATAAATTAAATATATTTATTTTTTGTTATACATATATTTTTGTATAAAACAAATGTGTACATATAGGAAAAATTGAATAAAAAATATAGCGCATATAAATTAGACCATGAAAATATTTGTTTTTAACGATAAATTATATATTAGAAACATAATAAAAAATGATATTTTTTAAAGGAACATAAAAAAAATAGTTCAGCAGTCATTGAATCCCAAGCTAATTTTAGAAATTTTAAACTCTCAATTATCAAAATTGCCGAAAGTGATGGTTACTAAATAAAATTATAATTAGCTAAATATTGTATTTGAGTTTTTGTATCTCCTTTTAAATAATCCTATAAGTAAATTGTTGTCAAAAAAAATATCAATGTATGTATAATATCAAGCTAATTACCAGCCTTAAATGATTTAAGTCTTATACCATCTGTATTTATCCACCCGCTGAGAGGTAGTGTTTCGGGATCTTGAATTTAAAAAGAAAAAGAATGTTAATGAAATACTTGAATTTTTAATATGCAGCGATTTGATTAAAAGTTTTAAAGAGTTTTTTAAATTATGCAAATTCTTCTTTACTTTGGCTTTAACAACAAGTGCAGAAAGGAGTTTTTCATCTTTAAAAAGAATCAAATCTTATTGCAGTAACAGGATGAGCCAAAATCGATTATCGAATCTATCTTTGATTTCGATTGAAAAAAAATTATTAAAAAATTTAAAATCAAGCGATAACTTTTATATTGCAGTACTTAATCATTTTACTCAAAAACAAAGACGAATACCACTTATTTATAAATCTTAATGTTTTTATTGTTTGAGTTTGACTAAAATATATAAAAAAAAAATTTTGATCGCTTCCTTAGTAGTAAACTTGACGCTTCGTCACTGAAATACTGTAATGTAATTTTACTTATATCATAAATAAATAAAAGTAACTAATAAAGTTAAATTCTACCTTATTATAATTATTTTATTAAGAGCCTTTTAAAATTATCTAATTTTATATATCAATTGTAGCTTAAATATTTCCTCTAATAAGAACTTGCTAAAATATTTATATATAAAATATATTGGGGGTGTGCCATTGGGATGTGCCGATATTTTTTATCCGATCGGGCCGATTTCACCCATTTTAAAATATCGGTTATCGGCCAATATTATAAAATTTGATTCGATATAAAATGGCTTCATTAACAAAAAAAAATGTTATAAAATTTTTATAAAAAGTTTTATCTAAAATCACTTATTTTTATAAATAAAATCTGAATCCATTTTTATGTATATTTATTTAATAATAATAATTAATAAACATTCTGCCATACTGTTATTTTTTTTGCGCATTCTGTTTATAAAAGTGTGCGATATTCTCGTCAGAATCTGTTTTTAGTGAAGCTGATGATATTGACAGTTACTATAGCCACAAGCTGACCTCTGATAAATTGGAAATATTGGTATTTCTAAAAAGAAATCTTCGATATATTAATGTTAAATATTATTTTAAATATTTATTTCAAATTTCATAATATAATTGTTTATTACTTATTATATATATAGATTAATGTTATTACTATTTATATAAAAGTGATTTAACAATAAAAATATTTTATATAATTTTAGAATTGCAATTGAATTGAATATAAACTATAACTGATCATTATAATATATTTGAATGACATAAGTAATGGTATAGTTAAATTATATATGTTATACTAATAAAAAGTATATTAAAAATTAAAACCATTGGTATCTTTACAGAATACAAAATTAGATATGATATCGGATCGGTAATCGACCGATATCAATTCAATATCGGGAATATCGGATCGGATCGACCTCTAAAAAGTGGTATAGGTACACACCCTTAAAAAAATATATATCCAAAATGATTTTAATTTGATAATCAGGGACTTAAGTATACGTATTATTATGTTAATAATTATAAAATAAAAATGTAAAATATACTTTAATATGTTTAACAAAGTTTTTTGAACCTTTAATAACTTTCTTGTGCAATTTTGACATTCAGCTTGTACCTTATTCTTTTTCACATGAATTACTTTATAAAATTTTCCATATAGAATTTTAAGATTCGGATTTGATTCAGGAGAACCTATCTTTATAATTTCATCTTCACTACTATGATTGTTAAACATTCTACAAATTAAAAAATATTACATATAAAATATATCTTTCTCTTATTTAGTTTTGGTGTTGTTATTTTTAATTTATCTATCTTTGTGACCTGTGAAATTTCCAACTAATTTTGGTTATCAATATATTTAAAATATTTGAGGGAAAAAATAAAAAAAATAATATAAGATTTCACGAAGAAAATAAAGTTATATTGTGTGATATGTAAATGTTTTAAACATGAATATTAAAAAGAATCTGTATCTGTATCTTATTAAAGAAAATGAAAAATATACAAGATTCTTTTCAAAATAAAGGATCTTAGATACAGATACTAGTATCTTATTAAAAATGTCAATAAGATACTGAGTACAAGAAAAGATCTTGTATCTTAGATACAAGTATTCGCGGTACTGCCCAACTCTGATTATATGTTTGATACTGTGATATGCCTTGATTACTTTTCATGTGCTGTTGTTGTGTTAATGAATAAAAATACAGAAAACAATTACGGACTCATATTTTTAGCTCATGTTAAACGTACATCTACAGCTAGACACAGTTTCCTTACTTTGGTGAATTTCCAAATTTGTACTAGAGATGACTAGCCACTCAGGGCCATAGGCTTCCCTTTATTTTGTAACTCGAAGAAAGCGATAGAACCAGCAATTAAAAATAAGTCCCATTTTTTTTAGTTATACACACAGAACTGTTAGAGGTTTCCAAAGGTTCGATTTGGGTCAATTTTTAAAATTGCCGGTTAAGATTTTCATAAAAATAGTATTATGTAAGCCTGGAAGACTTTGCTCATATTATTCAATCCCATGGTCTTATTATTATAAAACATATTTATTAAAATCTTTTATAAATTAGTTATAAATGCATTTTATGATTTATCTTTTATTATATTTATATAAAAAAATTTATTATATTTTATTTAGATCAGATTTTTTTTAAATATATACTTTTAGATATTTAATTTTTTAAATTAAAAATGTTTAAAAGTAGTCCTCTTTAAATAAAGCGATATTATCATTTTTCTAATATAAAGGTGTAAAAGATAAGAATTTTTTAATAATAACTCATAATCTTGTTGAGTCTGTTTTTTTATAAGTCTGTAGAATTTTGAAAATTTAGCATACTGAAACATAACAGTAGAGAGATTGTAAATACTAACCCTTGGATAGTTGATGGTAATACTATCAGGATCGATTTTTTAGTTTGCCAGGCTCAATGAGTTCTCAAAATCCAAAAAAAAAATATTAACTTTTTCCTTGGAATTTTAATAAAATTCTTGTACTTGAGCCCCCAATAGCCCAGACGCTTCCAGTAATGCTTTACAGTCTTAACATTATATATGCATAAATGACTAAATTTTTATGTATTGTGGTGTATAATATATTTTTAAAAAAAATCTTTCTTCATATTAACTAATGAGGAAACTATGTAAGCTTAATTTTATAATGGTAAATTATATATTTTTTTTTAATTTAGAATACATAAAAGAATTAACCGAACAGAAAATATGTTTATATATTTATTTGAGGACAGTATGACTCAGCCAGAGCCACAAACTGGGCTGAAAAACTTTTCAATTTTTCTAAAATTTTGCTTATATTTTTTCATATATTCATTAATTTAAAATATATGTTGGAATTTCAGGTGTGTCATTTAGTTAATTAGGGGACATTGGGAATGGGGTAATTGTCGAGGAAGAATCTTAAAAGGGTTGACAGTGGCCTAGTGCGTTTAGAAGCAACAGATAAGGCTCGAAAAAAAATTTATCGATAAATTCTATTATAGGTTGGCTAGGTGAAAAATTTTTTATCAGCCATGGCTCGTTAACTTATGCGATCTAGTTTTTGATAAATTTCAAAGTTCTTTAAGCACACTCCTCTATACATATCATATATATATTTCCAAAAAATTAGGTAAAATCTTTTTTATATTCATTTTTGTTTAAAATATAATAAATTTTTTAAATGTTTAAATATAATTTCACACGTTGAAATCAGTTAACCTCGCAATTTAAGAACAATATTAATCTACATGTATGAAAAATCTCCATTAATAAATGTGTTATGTTTGAGATGAATCCCGGAAAAACCCCCAGGAAAAAAACCCCAAAATTTTTTTTCGAATTTACTTAAGATCTAATAATATCAGTATATTTTTATTTGGATTTAATAAGGTATAGACAAATTAGTATTTTAGAAAAAAAATATTATAAAAATATAATTTATTAATAAATTATATACATAATAATGATTTATCAATAAAATAAACAGATCTTATTGAAAATTTTTTCAAATTTAGTCTACTTAATATAGTAATTAAGGATGGATATTGTATTTATTACTATGGCAAAATTTTTTGCGAAAATAGGTAATACATGGGTTATTTTAATGGGATATTCCCAGTACTAATTTGAACATCAGCATTTTTTCTTGTTTATGCACTGCGATTTTGTTTTCGGTGTCCAACTACCTACACGCCATCGTTTAAGTTTGGTTTCATCGGCAGCCACCTCGCATTTCATTTTTTTAATCACCCAGATTGATGGTTGTTTATTCCCAACCAGATTAGAAAAACGATGATTCGAACCTTCGCATTAATTATTTATGAGTTATTCGTTGGATAAAGTGCTCCGATTCAAGTTTCTGGAGGAAATCGAGGCCCAATTCGACCTGTCTGGGATTGAGAATTGCTTCTTTTGACCTCCCTTGATACTCCATTGATGTAATTTTTATCGAATTATTCAAGAATATCCTTACCATTTCTCGGAGTAATCGATTTAAGGAGCAATTGCATTGCCCATATCACATAAAGGAACAAATGCTAAGCCGTAGAAGCCTAGGGCTTCATCGATTCTGTATTGGCTTTCCAGACCTAGCTTTTGAATTTTTCTATGGTTACTTTGACACAAATGATAAAAGCATCCCCTGATTATGATGTGATCCCCTAATTGAAAAAATA